GAGAGGAGTGTGGAGCTGGTTGGTGCCTTGGAAATTAGCCCTAAGGACTTGTAGGGGAGGAGGGACTGAAAAGAGCACTACATTGGTAACGGAGTCTTATCCAGAGAAGGATAAGTGGCACATAGAAGACACTGCTCCAGAACTGGTGGCAGGAGGTGATCCAAGAAGTAATAAAAATTACAGTGATTTTATCTAAGGGCAATTACATTGATTTGCAATAAGAGGAAGGGTACTAAAAAGGTTATGAAATCTGAAAAAATATGTTAGAGGCTGTAAATTGCATTAGGTGGGTGGCTCCAGATAGCAGTGGCGGTGCTGCAGGGGATTCCTTACTGCTTCCAATTGCAGGCACTTCTCAGATGTACAGCACACTGTAGCTGGGTGTCATGTAGCTAAATGTAACTACTACCCTGTGTGAGGGAAGGCATACCTAATACTTAGCTGCAAAAACAGTTTTTCTACTGTGGTAGAAGCATAGTTTTGTTTTTACTAGCAAAAAGAATGCTCGGGATTGATGCAGACTTTTCTTCCATTTGTAATATTGCTTTGAGGAGGACTAAATTTCTGTTCTAGATGAAGTGTGTGAGGAAATAACTATGTTTTTCTTTCAGCAATCTCAATCCAGAGAAAAACACAAATGACAATGGAATGTCTATGCAGAATGATAACTTTGAAGAGATCATAAACCTGCCTATTGGTTCTAAACCATCCCGGCTGGATGCCATGAACAATGATGGAAGCAATAGTCCCGAAATTCCTTTGAATCCAATTCTAGCCTTTGAAGATAAGGGGACTCTTTTGCCTCAGGTAGATAGTGTTCAAACACATCAAACAGCAGGTAGGTTTGCTGTGGTTCATGAACATTTGTAATGTGTTGTAATTGACAGAGGTCCTAGAGCTCTCAATTAATATAAGTTGATTAATTTAAGCATTTTTAAACCCCACATCATTTGGGGAAAGGAGCGTATCTCTTCTTTGTAAAGCTGTGCATGCCAAGAACATGTAGATGTAGTGCAAGTTATGATGAGGCCTTATCTTTTCTTGAATGATGGCCTCTCAGTTATGTTTTACTTTCTTCCACTTGTGGTTGCTTGGAAAGGTTTGCCCTGTGCTGCCAAACAGAAGTGGTAAGTGACAGCTGCTGTTCCAAGCAGTCAGCAATCAGATTCCAGTTTTGTAAGTGCAGTACCTGGCACACACATGCAGAAGGGGACCTGGTACCTAACCACTTTGTAAAATTCTGCATGTACTTTCCTCATCAAGTTCTTGCACGCATATTAATACTGAGGGATGGTTTGCAGGACACTAGTTTTCTCAATGACATCACAACTTTTCAAGAATGTAAGTAAACAAATACTAATTTAGCAAATTAAATTGGATACTCCTTTATTTTTCTGTGGCCAGAAAATGTAAGGAAAATCATTAATTGCATAAGCACGTAACATTTTGAAGTAAGCATTGCCACTCTGACCTGTCATTTTTGTTACCTTCTGTTGTAGAAGTGATCTGATTGTTTCTTCTGAAGAACCAAAGGTGATATGAGCGTCTCTGCAGTCAGTGGAGTTTCTTCCATGCTATGAAGGAGTGTTTTATTTTTTCTCTCCAGTTTTTTAAAGATTTCTTGAATATCTTTTTTGGAAGGACTTTAGTAAAACCAGCAGAAGAAATGAGGGGAATAGACTTGGATCACCTTTCTAATAGCTTTCATCACTAGAAAAATCATGCTTCACGTGCGTTACTTAATATGGCTATTTCCAACGAGCTTTTTTTTGTTAGTAAATGGATATTTCTGCATTCCTTAAGACACTAGACACTGGAATCTGAAAGTAATGGGCTGATTTGGGTGGTGGGACTGATTCTTTTTTGCTTTTTTAAAAAAGGTGAGTGTTGGTTTAAAAGGTATAATTATAAAATTGGCAAAGAATCTTTTACACTTTGTGGTTCTAATACTTGAAAAATAAATGCCTCGTTGCTCTACAAGTAGAGCTAATGGGGTGTTTTATTTAAACCTGTTGGTTTAAATGTTATTGCAGAGAACTCTAATTATGGGGGCAAACTATAGGCTTCTGTATCAGGTTCTTTTAAATGAAATCCCTACAGGGACATTCTGTAAATTGAGATGTCACTATGATCTTCTTGCATTTTCTCTAAAAACACAAAACAAGACAGGTTTTAAAATGTGAAAATTTGAAAGCGTTATTTTTTCATGGACAAGAGGAAAACCTATTGTTCTTCTAGATTATGTATTTATGAATTTTGCTCAGTACAGAAATAAATCATTTAATTGAATAAATTAGACAAATATGGTAAAAAGATACTGCAAACTTGATTTTTTTTTTTTGGTTACATCCATGTTCACAAACCTATAAAAGATGTGTATGCATATGCACACAAACATGTGCGCACACACACAAGGAAATACCTTATTCTGAGTCCTGTAAGTTGCTGCTGTTCTCAGTGATGGAAGACTTTTCCTTTGCCTTATCAAACTACTGAAGACTGTGTGAAACCTGAAATATTTGATTTTGGATGATACAGGTTTGGGATTTTTTGGTTTTGCTCGTTTCAGAGCAAATGGAAAATGGTCATTGTGCTTTTCATGCAGTGTGTGGTTTTTATAAAGCAGTGCAGTTTGAGTGATAAGAGGAGCAATGCAAGTTGCTTTCTCTTTAGTTTGATGCTGATTTCTACTGTCATTGTTCCATCCCTCACTTTCGGTTGTGTTGTGCAGAACTGTAAAATTTTGCACGTTTTTGTGCTTTCCTAAACAATGCTGTTGCAGGCAGAGCTCACTCTAGGCATTTGAGTTTGAAGCATCAAGGAGGGCTTGAGGCATTGCTCTCTGAAGTCATTGAGAAGATCCTTGGCAAGGGAAATGGAGGTTCATGGGGTTTCAGCTCATGCTAAGAGAGAATGTATCATTAAGATTCCTGTGCTTGCCTTTAGTGAGCACTGAGCGAGGCCTCTAGGAAGCTGTGCAGAAAGTCTATGCTAGCAGAAGAAATCCTCTGAGACAAAAGCTGAAGAATTTTTGAAGAAAATTCTGCTGCTGCCAAGTGTTCATCTTATAGAGGAGATGGGATAAAAGCAATGGAAATAAAATGAAAGAGACTTCATCTGCCAGAATCTATATGGAAGGGAAAAAAACAGCCATTCAGTCAGAATGCTTTCAATAGTAACTTGTGACACAGTAAAATGAATTGGGTTCCTTTCTTGCTTTCTTTAGTTTTCCATGTACATAGCCACAATATTTTGAAGTGTCCAAAATATGTAGTTTTTCTTTAAAACTATATATAGCATGTAAGTACCAAATAAAACTTGTTTGAAATATTTATTTCTACTTATATTTTCATTTTCTTGCATAGCTGAAGCAGGAATCAATCTCTGGTGGAAAACTCTTCTCGCTACTCCTGGTCTGCTTAGAATTTGCTTCAGGTTTCATCTAATTTTTTAAATAGAAAATCAGTACAAAGTCACTTGCAGCTACAAACAGAACGAAAAATAGCCAGTAAGATTTGGCTTCAGTTTTAAGTCTGGGGATTCATTTAGGCTCAGGTTTAAATTATGTTGATCTTGAGCTATTTCGGCTTGGGTCTATATTTTGCTGATCTGTTTTTTGTGAGGCTTCAGAACACTTGCTTCACTGTTTGCAGCACAGATTAAGGCCCTGCTTCATTTCTCATCTGTACTTTGCTTTTTTTGATTTGATTTTTTTTTAACAATTTATCACTACATTCAGTCCAGGTTTGCTTCAAATGAGAGAGAGAATTTCCTCTGTTTCAAGGGCCTAACAACAAAACAAAGACTGAGAAATTGCTAGTAGAATTAGGTGTATCAGTTTAAAAAAAAAAAGATTGAATATTGAATTTTTAAGTCTTTTGGTTAATTCTTTCTTTTAATGAAGGGGAAAATAGTTTCTCTTCTGTTGAGTGTTGTTCTTGACAATAAAATATAGTATCGAGTGAAGGCCAGCTCCTTTCCCTTCTATTGCCACTGATTTTGTTGTCTGTACTATCAGAGGCAAAACTGAACTACTCAGTGAGGTAGAACTAGCAACTGTAGAAGTTGCAGACAGCTATACTGAAGGTACAGAGTAGTAACCTTTCACAGCAGTGAGCTTTGTGCTTTGGAAAGACTTAGCTCCTTGCTCACATCTTAACAGCACAACATAAATGAGTGTAGTTCAGTACATCACAACTGGTGGGTTGTTCACGATTAGCTTTGCTTGTTTCACATCTTTTATCTCCTCATTCCTGATGAAGAATGCTTTGTTATTTTTTTTCTTGCTAAGACTTTGAAATAATGTTTGTGATTAAATACCCAAGAATACAGATACAGGACAGATTCTGATATAATTACTTAATATTGCACTGATTTTCTTTTTGGAAACTCATCTAAAGTCACCCACAGAGGTGGTCTAAGTTTTGAGATTTTGGGATTTTGTTTCTAGCTGTGTCATTCAGTTAGTCCTCTGTTTCAGTGAGTCTACCTGGCCAAAGTAGAGCACATGGTTTTTCATATGAGATTTCAAAACAAAATTTCTGTCACACGTGAATATTGAAAATGCTACATTGCTTTATCTGAGGTTTCTGTCTGCCCTGTACTTTACCAGGCCCTCTTACTGCACTGCAGAGAGGATTTTGAGTGTGGAGTTTGTTTGGTTTGGGTTTAGGTGGGTTTGTTTGTTTGTTTTATTTTCCAATGAGTACTGTTGGAAAAAACTTGCAGATATTAAAAGGTATCATTATAGAAAATGTTTCCCCAAAGCACCAAAATTAAGCTTAGAGATTTGGGCCACATTAAAATGCAACATTGAGCTCTTAATTGACAAAATGATTTTTTAAACTGGTTTTTTTACTCTCACTTTTATTCCGTGTTTGTAGCCAATAGCAGCTCTAAAGCTCTACATGCACATAAGAGTTATAGCATGATCAGTAGTACCTCAAAAGACAGTGTGCTGCTTTTGGCTGGGGTAGAGTTAGTTTTCTTCATAGTAGCTAGAGGGGGGCTGTGTTTTGGATTTGTGCTGAACATAGTGTTGATAACAATGTGTTTTAGTTACTGCTGAGCAGCACTTGCACAGAGTCAGCCTCTCACACCACCCCACCAGCAAGGAGGCTTAGGGTGCACAAAAAGTTGGGAGCGGGCACAGCTGGGTCAGCTGACCCCAGCTGACCAAAGGGACATTCCAAACCATACATTGTCATGCTGAGCATATAAAGGTAGGGGAAGGAGGAGGAAAGGGAAGGTATTCGGAGTTATGGTGTGTGTCTTCCCAAGTGACCATTACAGATGAGGGAGCTCAGCTTTCCTGGAGATGGCTGAACACCTGCCTGGCCCATGGGAAGTGGACACACAAGCAGAGCTTTGCTTGTGTGCATGGCTTTTGCTTTCCCTGTCGAACTGTCTTTATGTCAACCCACAAGTCTTCTCACTTTTAGGGGGAGTGAACAAGTGGCTGCGTGGGGCTGAGCTGCCAGCTGGGGTTACACCACGACGGTCAGGAAACTTCTGAAGTGTTTTCACAAGAAACTGCTATCTAGCAGCAGATGCTTGCTATAAGAGTGGTTCCAGAATTTCAGTATTCCAGCTAGTTCAACGTGAAGCTTCAGGAGGATTTTTGTATTCAAAAACTAGTGTATTGATCAAAGATGGAATTGGATTACTAATAGATTATTATTTTTGTTGTTATTATTTTTATGATTATTAGATTACTATTCTCTCACAAATTAAAACCTATATTAAAAAAACAGTGCCCCATAATTTCAAAGCTCTGTGCTACATTTTTTTTCCTGAAAAATACTGTTTTGATTGGCTAAGAAGTTTGTGAGAGAGCCTCTTCTCTGGAGGAGAAGGAAGGGGAGGTTGTCCCATATTCTCTATACATGTAAGAAAATTAGTTGAATTTAAACATATTACTAGGTTTTTTGTTCTTTAACTCCTTTTAAAATGAAGTATCAGCATCCAAGTACAAGAACAATTCCTAATTTTACCAAATATTTTTACTTTTTCCCTGTTGCAAGTACCTTTGAAATAATTTAACATTTGCAGAACACAGATTTCTGTATTCAAACACATGTCACCCAAATAATTCATAGTTGCTACTTTATTGTATACATGCTCTGTGCAACATTTTACTTGCCTTAAATGTGCCTTTGCTCCTCTGCTGGAGAGTAATGTCTATAATGTGGACAAGGATCAGCCGGAAGGCTTGCCCCATTCTTGCCTCTTACAAATTTCTTGCGATTTCTGAACTGTCCCTCATCACTTACTTTCTGTAGTAACCTGTTAGTAGTTTTCTACTTTTATACTGTGGGTTAATTCAGTTATTTTTCAAAGACCCTGTAGTGTGCTCTGAAATAAGGGGCATGGAACAGAAACAAAATAAAGATGAATGCAGAGTAACCCGCATACTTGAGATGCCTCTTCAGTGGCATTGGCCTGTTATATGAAGAAAACCTCATGAATACAGTGCTTTTTTTTTGAAGGGGGGTGGTGGTGAGGAAACCAAAAACAAACCATGGATGTTTAACCAAGCATAACAGGTGTTTTTCACACCCCATTTGGAAAGGACCATAGTCTTGTCCTCAAGCACACTTAAGCAGCCAACCAAAATGTTCAAGGAATTGGTTTTTGACGTACTCCAGTTCTTGTTATCAGAACCTCTCTTCTGTATGATGAAACTGCAAGTAGCAGGAAAACTTTTAACTACAGGAATCAATGAAAAGAGTTGTTTTCCCTGAAAGTTCAGACTCTTGGATGTGATAAGTTTTCATAAGCCATTTGGCTTAACTGTCTTCATGGCAAATAGCTGCCTTAAGGAGCTCTTGAGTTTCTTCTGTTTGTTGACGGACTTGCTCAAGGAGTTTGGCCATTTGGCTTTTTCTGAATGCTAATGAAAATTCTGGATCTGTAAAGGAATAACAGAGAAGGCAGAACAATATTCTTCTACCACAGAAGGCAGATACAAATTCAATTTTCATCCTTACAACTATTCAAGATTGCTGCTAAGTTCTCCTGATCCAGATGTCTAAATCTCAGTTGCCAAAAGCAGCTTTATGCAGCAGCTGCATATCAAGTCATAGCAAGGTCTTGACTCTGGCTCTACATGTGTAAAGATATATGCTATATATTATATATATATTTATTACCACATTAAAAGTCTCATAAGTACTCAACTTTTACCCCCCAAAAAAAGACTAACTAAACCCAGAAAAATATTAAGGAATAGACTTTAGAGTATGAAAAAGATGTGAGACTTCCCACTTTAATATCAGCTAATCATGCAGTTTGCTTATTTGCTCGCTTTATCAAAATAAACTGCTTTCAGATTTAAAGAATTTTTAGGTTGCATCTGTTGCCAAACATATTGGATAAAAGCATCTGTACCTGAAGTCCTATTTCCCTGCTGATCACAAAGGCTTTAGTTTTAAAGTGCACAAATGAACAAACAAACCCTTCCCACTTTATCATAAGATACTCTTAGTTACTTTAGAACAGGTGTGGTAACAGCTACCCGGCATTGTCAGTGGTTGGACTCCATGATCTTAGAGGTCTTTTCCAAGCTTAATGATTTTGATTTCTGTTCCAAAGCAGTGCCTGCTTGCCACTGATAGGTGCAGGCAGGCTCTGAGAGCACCCTGGGGGCTCAGCCTAGCAGGAAGGACTTACCTTTCTGTAGTCTGCAGAATGTGGAGATGCCCAGCTGCTGAAACCGGATCTCTCGGTGGGTAAGAAAATTCTTGAGGTATGCTTGAATCTCTCCGATGTGATGCTTCCATAAAAGCATCATTTTTTCTGCATAAATGGGAGAACCACTGGAGATCAATACAAACCTTTAAAACACTTTGAAAACTGATTTTTGTAACATTTGTAAGATCATTAATGACTTATCTACCTTCAGCTACAACCAGCATTACTGCAAAGACTGGCAACTTCCCTGTACTACAGCTTCTGACAATATCGCTGATACTTCAGGTAAACAAAATGCTAAATGGGCTGCTGTGCTAGGAATCTAGTCCTTGTGCAAGGTGCCTGCTGATTTATGGACTGATCAGCCTGTCATACTAACTTGAAGTGATTATGCTGTTGGACTCTGTTCACTGCCTGAGAGTCTGCTCTGTTGCAAACCCTCAGTGGTAGAAATGAAACAGATTTGCATTTTCCCTTACTGGAGACTCATTATGGATTTCAGTTTTTGCACATCTAAGGTCTAAAATGCAACCATGCCTTTCTAGAGAACATGACAAGAATTATCTGAATACCTTTTTCTTGCAAGTCTAAAGGCTCTCAGCTGCATGGCACATGTATATTAAGCATAAAGCTATTTGTTTGCTACAGGTAATGCTCTTTTTATTCTCTTTCACTGAAACTGAAAAAAATTTTGACTCCATTCTTAAAAGCCACTTCACTGCTCCTGCTAACCTAGTCTGGAATTACAACAGCAGGATTTGGTTCGGTAAAAGCTTTCCTTTTGCTAGTCAGACAGCAGAGTTTATCTAGAATTTTGGAATGTAACCTCTGCTTCTATCTATGGGGAATGCCATCACATTGTATACACTGAGAAGGAAGGTCAATCAGAAAGATGTAGCAATGACTTGTCTGAAACATGTTCTCATCTTTCCCATGGTAAGGAATATCTTAACTGTCTCCAACCTTCCTACTTAAGTTGTTTTTAAGGACCTCAGAACTGGCTACAGACTAGCCCTGCAGAATGGCAGTGCTTGAAGAAGGCAATGAAAATGTGATTCAGACCTTTGTGGTCCACTTTCATCCCTGGGCTTTCTCATGCATTCAAGCACTATTCTATTTCAAGGGTAACAGTAGGCACTTTTATGCTAATACATTTGTAGAGACCAGATGGAGGATGCTATAGGAACATTAAAGGTTGTTGGGTGCCTGACAGTTATCTCCTTTTGGAAAAGGCTAATTTCACTCCAGACAGCCGTAAGACTCCTTCAAAGCAGAGTTAATCGTGTGACAGTTACCGTGACCTATCATGTGCTGGATGATGGAGGCAGCTTGAAAGGATGACTCAGTGTGTTCCAGTTGGCCAGCCAGTCTCACCAAGCACTTTGTCAAATGTTCATCCATCCATTGGACCATGTGTAGTGTGGCTCCTTCTAGAAGACAGAAAGATAAGAGAGTAGTCTGTAAACAGAAAGTCCATTGTTGAAGAAATGAAGTAGAGAGTTCTGCCAGAAACCATACAGCCTAAATAGGGAATTCTTCATGCAGCTAGAGAAGCGAAATAAGTGCTGAGCTTGGTTAGTATGTTTAGGTTGTAAAAAAGGGTCATGGCCTGAGGTTATGCTCTCAGTAAGATAGGGCCATGGGTTTAATTCATATTTTATTGGTTTTGTGTTCTGAAACAATGAACCACTTTATGTATGATCCACTAGTAGGTTCAGTCTATCTAGCAGCTGCTGGGCACCTCTTGCAAAATTGAGTGTTACATGTTGCCAGTTACATGGCCCTTACACCAGATACAAGAGATGACTTGTTTGACAGACAATATTCAGTGCCAGGGCATGTTGGGAAAATTTACACTGATCCTTTCTGCCATGAGGAGTGCTGTACCTTTCACAACTGTTAATTTGGGATCTTTTATAAAACCCATGTGCAAAAAATTTCAAGAGAAAATGCTACTTTGTATTTTAGTCTTTTCCCCTTTTTATATTAGTTTTTGCTATTGTAAAATTATCTCACCCTGAGAAACTTGGAAATGTTACAAATAGAAGTAGACAGGCCATGTACAGCAGCAAAGTTCAGCACAAAAAAATCTGAGTAAAAAATTTTAAGCAGTTAAGTGAAAGAAAGTGCAGAGAGTGGAGCCCATATGTCCTGCCAGTGAATTGGATCTTGCTCTTGAAGCTCGTGGCAAAACTCACAATGAATTTAAAGGGAAAGACCTGGGCTGTATGTCCATGTCCACCTGTGCTTCATCTCCTATTGGAATTAATAAAGGACATGTACGCTTCTCGGATTGAGCTGTTTATGGAGGGGTTGCTTCCCTACCTTGCTTTGCAAGTTCAGCCAGGCAAGATGTCACGTAACGAAGGGAGTCCTCTTGAGTGTCGATAGAAAGCATGGTCTGGAGGAGACCTTCAATACACCGGCTCTCCATGATTCTCTGCAACAAGTGAAGGGGATTGATGTTTAGCATTTTCCTTATGGTTTAGTGGATTCTGAGGACTTCAGAAGTACTGTAACAATACCGAGGGCTAAACCATCAATAATGGAAATGTCTTCTCCCAGATCTACCACAACCAGGTGACAGTGCCTCGAATTGTTCAGAGATCATCCTATTTTGGGCCTTTCTCAGGGCTTGCTCTGTCTGTGGGACGTTCTGATGATCACCAATCATTCTGAGCTCAAAGAATTTACTGACCTATTGCTGTTTTACCTCACTGTATGTTAGTACTGAGCTGTCGTTGGCTTAAGTCTTGCTGCAGAGGTGAATAAGCTGAGTGCTCCAAGGCAAAGCATTGGGAAATGTGGAAGGTTTTTAGTTTTCCTTATTTGTCTTCAGGTCTTTGAAAACTATCTGGTGTTGAAATGCTCTGATCTGCAGAAATATGGGATGACCTCTCACTAGAAATGGTGAATTCTATTTCTGCAGAGAAATGTTACAAATTAGATGTTTTTGTGTATCCATTATCTTTTAGGCTGAATCTGCTATGCCAAAAGTGGTGTTGGACAGCATGTCTCTGTACTGGGATATATGTTTTATAGACCGAGTTGAAAACAGGAGACTTAGCCTATGCTGACCTGGATTAAAAGCACATGAGACTGAAAAATGAGTTCTGAATGAGTCACCTCACTGTGACTGGAAGTGACTGGTTAGTAATGAATTTGAATCACGAAGTCATCTTTACTGGGAGATCCTAATAATGGAAGCTGATCATAGCTCTTTAAGTGAGCTCAGGTGTCTATCAACAAAAGAGAATATCTTTTTTTTTTTTTATGTTGCAGTTTTTAACTTGCTGCTTAGAGGTTGAAGATGGATCCAACACTGCTGCCTTTCAAGCTCCCACGCTCTGTGTCCTGCTGGCATAAAAACAACACCGGTTTTTATCTCTTGTGCCAAGGACTCTTCTGTGTTTTAGAAAGTGTTCCTAAGAATTGACCCTGGAAACCTGGCACTCCCAGTTATGTCTGTGTATTCACTTATGCAGTGAGAGCTAGGTAGTCTATACATTATAAAGCTTTATGAAGGTGAACCAGCTCCTGGCTGATAACAAAGTCACAAAATCTAAGTACTTTAAAAAAATGACCATATTTGTCAAACTTTGAAAGGATGGTCCATTTTTACTCTTACTGTGAGCCTTGAGTTTGAGGGCATCTAGTTCCTTGAAAAACTTGATTTCTCAACTATTAGAAATTTATATAATTCTTATCTTAGTACCAGTGAAAAAATACCATACTTTTCCTTCTGGCTAGTTTTAATGTCTGGAACTAGTGGCAACTGGATCATGATAAAAGAGGAAAAGAAAGAACTGAGTTTTGAAAAGTGTGTACCAGGAAGTGGGACAAAGCAGAAATGAGGATTTAGGTGATTGTTCCCCCCCCCCCCCCAGTATTGATTGTTACTAATGGTACTATTTGATCAAGGTACTCTTAAAGGCAAGGAAAAAGGAAGTGCATCTGTGCATATGGATTTCAAAGCAAACTCAGCAACAGAGATCTTTATAACATTTTGGCACAACTGGTATCTTGCCAAACAGGTAAAATATACATCAATAGGTCAGGTTATATTTGACAATAAAGGGCAGCTGAAGCATGAGAGCTAGGAAATAAAGATGCAGCTTATAACAGACCTCAGATTTTCCTAGATGGTTCCTTTAATTAGCATGAAATGTCTTTGGTAGAGGAATGTTTTATACCTATGATGCAGTCATTTCAATTAGGTAACCACATCACTGATAGAAAAGATTAAATATTCCTTATTTTCATTAGCATTATTGTATTGGGAAAATATGAATAAACCCTCCTTTCATTATGGCACATCAGGTCCTTTTATTCATACCTAGAATTTTGTGTAGAATATCCTTGGCATATATTTAATTATCCACAGAAATTTTAATTTTTTTTTTTAATGCTGATTTGATATAAACATAATGGCAACCTCCTGGGGTATAGCTCAGTGAAAAATATTGGGTACCTACCTGTCTGTTTTTGGAAAGGCTCAGGTTTTTGATGATACAAGCAGTATGTCCAACAATCACAGGGTCTGTTTTATGCACCAGCAGTAACATCCCCAGGCTCTGCAGTAGCTCAGCACATGCCAGAGTGTCCTGAGAAGAGTAACCGGTATCTCAGTTACATGCAATATGGACAACATATCGCAGCTTTACACAGCTATAGACAGGTCGATCTCAGCTCTGAAAGAAGAGCTCATTTAAACCAATGATGTGGCTAGGTCCAGTGCTTTTTCCCTCAGATATGGTCTACTGACTGGCACTGATGTACAGAGCACTTGCTGCGGAATGCTGGAGTCTTTAAGGTCCTGTAGTTTATTTTTGTTTGCACATCAATTCCTTCCCAGAAGTTGTTCACAGTCAGGGGAAGGGACATCTGATCCTGACTGGAAGGAGAAGTAGTCAGAGTATATGTGAAAGGCAGAAGTGCATGGTGAATTAGCTGCAGCAGTGTGTCCTTGAGTACCTCAGCAATTTACCTTGCCTACAATAACGGGCTGTGTTTTTAGGCCAGTTTGTAATGAGGCACCACTTTAGTAACATGTTCTGAACAACATCTGAGTTTAAACATATATTTCTCTGCTGTCTGATGGATATTTTAGAAGGACTTCACTAAGTATCTCTCTCTGAATGTAGTCTTCTTCCAATTACCACTAATATTAATTGAATCATAGAATGGTTTGGGAGATCACCTAGTTCAAACCACCCTCCTGTGAGCAAGGACACCTTCCACTAGACCAGGCTGGTCACAGCCCCATCGAACCTGACCTTAAACACTTCCAGGGATGGGGTATCCACAACTTCACTGGGCAACCTGTTCCAATGCCTCACCACCCTCACAGTAAATAACTGTTTCTCCTAATATCAAATCTAAATCTACCGTCTTTCAGTTTGAAGCTGTTACCCTTTGTCCCATAGTATCAGATCTGAGTTTGGATTACTGCCCAGGTAGTTGCCTCAATAACAGTATGGATTAAGAGGGCACTGCTGTTTGTAAGAGAAACCTGACCTCAGCCAGCTTTGGATGAGGTCTGCAGTTAAAAGCAAAAGATTTCCTCGTGGGCGTGTTTTTTTCTTTCAGTCTCCTTTCCTTAGGAATTTGAGTTCTTCATGCAGTTCTTCTGTTTGTTTGCAATGAATTATATCATTTGTACTACTTAGAAACTGAGGCACATTAGCAGGGGAGTTCAATATAAAACAAATCATTGGTCCTGTATGTAGTTGCGAAAAATTCCATAATTCTGAAACCTGTGAAATGTCAGGATTGCTAAAGTAGCGTTGAAAGACAGATGTCTTTAAAAGTTAGTTTAACTTGCATCTTTCTTTTACTTAGGTTAAATTGCAAAAGTGTATCTTATTTTCTTTTAATATCAACTGACATCTTCATTTAACATTCATTTTAAGCACTGTCACAACTAGCTATCCTAAAATAAAACATGAAAATAAGTGGAAAGGGCAGTGCTATGTCTAAACTCAGGGCATTTAAGGAATCCTATATGCCGACATGACTAAATTTTCTTTTATCTTATTTTTCCTTCTCTTCAAAGGCAGAAATAATATTAATTTAGATAATCCAATTAAATTACCATTGATGACTGTTTTCTGTGCTTTTGGACCTGGTGTCCTCTTTTATATGTCATCCCATCAACTAAGATACTTGTATTTGATTTGCTACGGCCTGAGAGGAGGAAATTTTCTATGGACTATAAATAAACTTTCTAATTTAAAAATATTTCCCTGCCAGATTCTTTTGTTTATTTAGCAAGTGTCAGTACTTTGAATTTTGCTGAACCCCTTTCTTTGGCTGGAATATGGTTGGGATCCAGATTTTGTTTTCTGGCTCAATCCTGCACAGTGCAAGAGAATCATGAGAAAACTGTGAGTAAAAATAGATTGAGTGGTTCAGATGGATATTGATGTCATTTCCCCCAATTTTAGAATATTTTTTTTAAAAGGCAAGGAAAAGCATTCTAGCAGCAAGTGTGCTTACAATTGCAATGCTGCACTTGTACTCCTTACACAGAGATTTCTTGACAAGATAAATATTGCCCCTGTTTACCAGTTAGCAAGAAGGGAAGGCAAAGTTATTTTGTACCTGGAATGGAGAGTCAGTGGCACCATCTGCAGTAGACAGACCTCTGCCAGCCTGACTTCCAGGTCTTTGCTTAAAGGAATTTGAATCAAAAGACTGTTTTCTCACAAAGGTTGATTCTTTAGTGTTTCAGGGTTGGGCTGTCCTTGGGAGAACTGAATAAAATTCCCCCTGCAAGAGGGAAGTTTTCCAGCTCTTGCTGGGAATCCCTGTCAACAGCCTGGTCAGGGGATTGGAAAAAAGGGGCTGAAGCAGAGAGAGGAGCTCCTGTGAAACATTCCTGGGTGTTTGCTTCATGGTAACGAAGGGGCAGATGGATTCTGCCCCATTGTATCCTGGGTAGTATTTGTAATAATTCAAGCATCACTTGACTTGGTTGTGAAGGTTAGCTTTGTTCAGTGGTTTGTTTTCTAACAGTTGTTCCCATGGAGAAGTCCCTCTTTCACTCACAGTGAATTCAGCCTGAGTTAGAGAAAGAAACTTTGAAAAGACTTGAAAAACAGGCCCAAAAAGGCATGGATGTGGGGAGCCAGGATATGAGTAAGGATAGGTCAACCTCTTCTCAGAGTGCCCTGAGCTCACTTGCACAAAGCAGCAACATTCAATAGTCAGGGACAGCCGTGTTTGCTTGCTAAAACAAATTTTGAGATGTAGGTATTTCTCACTGGAGAATAAAGCCTCAAGGGTGATGCTTTGCTTTCCAGTCTCCTGCTGCTGATCCTTTTTCCCCAAGAAGGGTGGTCTGTTTCACTGCTGGTGTAACAAGGCTGAGCTCCCAGTGCCTTTGCTCCCACTGACGCTGCACCATGGCTCTTTGTAGCCAGGGGTTTGAAGCACTTGTAAAGACAACTTTCAGGATCAGGGAGGAAAGGATTTGCAGGTGCTCTTTGCTGGGAGAACAAAAAGTGTAAATGGTCTTTGGGGACAAGAAAAGCAAAAGTGAGGAAGTGGTCACAGCACTAAGCCTACCAGAGTTCAAGAAGCATTTGGGTGATAGTCTCATGGTGTGACTTGTGGATGATCCTTTGCAGGGCTGAGTAGGACTCGATGATCCTTTTGGGTCCCTTCCAACTGAGCATATTCTGTGATTCTGTGAGGACAATGTTCCAGCATAATGCCTCATACTGAGTAATGTTTTTACTGTGCAAATAGCCTCCAATTAATTTAATGTATTACAGTAGTAAGCTTGTTGAGGGCAAATTGTGTTTTGATTGTATGAGGCAGTTAGACAAGCAATGAGGATGTTTGGTGCTCATGCAGCCGGCACAAAACCTGTGAAGCCACTGTGCCTTTGAATAGCTCTAGTTGCTACTTCCCAGGCATTGAATTTACCCATTTTTTTAATCATGTCCCAGAGTTAGACGGGGTGCAATTTGGTTTGCACTGTGCTGTGTACATGAAACTGAGCTGCATGGCACCAAGCTTCCAATTCCCAGAAAAAAAATTCCAATCAGGCTGAGTGGAATTTAATCCACAAGAAGCACCTAAGGCCACCTATGGTTACTCAGACTGTCATTACTGTTTAAAGCAGGAAAGATTCTCACTTTTTTTTTTTGCTTTATGCACCCAACCTCTGACTATCTTGAAATGTTTTTGTTAGCTTAAAACACCTATCAAAAACTTTTTACATCCATGTTCCTAAGGATGTCTTTAATTACTGTAAAGAGAAAGCAGACTTAAAAATAATAATAATTTGTCAATATTTGCTGTAGTTTATTTCTAGTCAGACTTCTTCCTGTATTTGCACTGTTAATGGTGGTGTTTACCCTGATCATGGGCAAAAGAACCATTCTGTAACTAAGGACATGAGGATATACAGTCCTAGTAAAAGTCCTAATGAATTAGCTAAAGATAGACAGGATTTCAAATTCTATTAGTCCCTCTTGTTGTTTTGATCCTAATTCAAAAAGTGTACTTATGAATAAAACTGTCCATTTAGAGAGGTAATGCATATTTGCCCTTTATTTTGCACTGATGCACTTTAAATGAGTGCTCTAAATTAGTTTCTCTGCTTTTCAGTCTATGGGGAAGTTCTGTAGCCAAGAAATAGCTTTCTTGGTTGCCCCTGTGGTGACAGTCTCTCACAGTGCTATGCATGTGTCCTCCCCCTTGTACACCCATGTGGCGACCTGTGATCTGGGGACTGAGGGGACAATAGGGAGTAGCAGGGAGCACAAAGCAGTAGCCACATATCCAAGGAATCTGACACCCATCTCTCCCTCTACTCTTTCACTGGTCTCTTCTTTGGATCCCACTCACCACAACAGATGGTTCCTTGGGTAGTTAGTGGCAGTGCAAATGCAGTAAACAAAGCCTTGTTATTTTTGGGTGGGAAAGAGAAGGGTTGGGAAGTCTCCCAGAGCCTATTAGTCATTCTCAAAATCCATTTCACATGCAGTTTTGCCATAACAGAGTGTTACCCCAGGCAAGAACTACTCTTTCCCTTCTATTCTTGGGAAATGACCTCCCCTACCTGGTTGTGCAGGTGCTGGGACAGTATCCAGAGCAGAGCGATGGAGGCACGACGCACGTCCTCGCTGCCAGATGCCAGGAGAGAGCACAGCTTGGACAGGACATTCTCAGCAACCATCTCGGCCTGGATGTCCGCTGGTTTGGGAAAATGACTGAGTCAGGGAGGTTCAGAGTACTGCAAGGAGGCATTCAGGCTCTGACTCAAACAGTTGACTGTGCCTCAGTGATCAAATTAGAGGGCATCTCCCCATCTCCACAAGATGGGACAACGCTAGATGTTCGGTTAAAAAAATAAACCCTCATTCATTCTGGCTCCTTTTGTTGAGGGATTAATATAAGCTTGATGGCAGAATGTAGGTTTGGATACCCTCAGTCTGTATCTGAATGTCAAAAAGAAGAATGAGGGGAATTTTCTGAGTCCATCATTGGCATAAGGCCGGGTAAGAAGGTGGCAGCTTCTGTTGTACAGACAGAAAGACCTCCCCAAGCACCATCTATCAAGCAGAGTTATGGTTGCCAGGGGAGAGATCAGCCATCCCACTGAATTGTTATACCTCACTTGTCTCTGCAACCTCAGCAAGTGCTTTTGGGCACTAAAAGGCACTGTCAGAGCAGCTAGCAGATGGCGAGGCAGATCTAAATGGTCAAGCAGACCAGGGGGCTTCAAACGCACCAAGGAGCAGCGCAGCAGTTCTTTCACTCTCAGCTCCATTATAATTGTGATTGCTTGAAAATTAAGCACCTCTGCATTTTCTAGATGAACAACTCTACCCTGGACTGTGGGGCTTTAGCACTGAGCGTGCCAGTCCTGCACTTTCATCTCCTAAGTATGTCATAGAAACGAAACCCGGACATTTAATAGGATAGGTTTTTTTAAGCTGATGACAAATGCTTGGGAGAAAATTATCTTTAATGATAGACAGAATCATGCCTTGGGAGAAGACAGGTCCCCTCAAGCAGCAATTTCGGGAGACATTCTCTCTCCTAATCGGGTTTAATGCTTAGGAAACATGGAAGGGAGAAAACTTAGCAACTTACTAGGGCTCTGTGCATAAGAAGACCTCTTCTGCCTTTCTCACTTTGTCCAGATATTTCCCCTTGCTACCTGGGAGCTCTGAGGCAGATTTAGTTAGGATATGCACTGCACCCCCCTCTTCCCTTAACATCCAGTTAAAATGTAGAAAAGAGGGTATCTCTTTGCTTTCAATATGAAAAGTTCCCAGCCCACTGTGCTTACTCTGAAAGGCAGAGAAAGAAAGAAATAGTGTGGTTTGTTTATCTCCAAGATATTGCTTACCACTGATAGCCAAATTTCTTAGGCAAACACATGCCTGGCTTGAAACCTGCTTGTGCCAGAGGAAAAAAAAAAAAAAAGGGAATGAGAGAAGGAGAAAAAGAGCAGTTTCAGTAATGCATGTTCTTGACTATTGTACACAAAATAAACATGACAACTCTAACTTCAGAGAATATATGTTGGCATATGATTTTTTTCAAAGTTTTGATGAATTTTCTTCAACCTCTTAGTATCAGTCATCCTGTTGTTGATGAAGAAGAGCCAATGGGGTTCAGATGTTGGTTTTGGTTTAGAATGTCAGATAAGTTATAGGAAAATGAAGGGAAAGGAATTGTCCCATTTGCTTTGCCTATTTTTTGCCTCCCTTCTACACAGTGTTTGAGGTTCCACCCTTTAAATCCTGTACTGTGGCTTATTGAAGTTCCTTTGATGTGACTCCCAGGAGAGCAAAATTTTCAGGATGTTATTCCTCGAAGCTATATAGTAAAAGTTCCAGATACCAAAAATTAAAAAAAGTAGCATGAAAGATGCTTGACACCTCCTGTCACAGACACAATGATCAAAGACAGAGCCTGGCCAGGGTACTTCACACATGTAGTTTCAAGTTTATAGCATACAGGCCATCCTAGTCTAATGGAAGTGTCCAGGGCAGTGGAACAATTTTAATGATTTCCCTTTGCTTTCTCCATACATTGACCTTGTAGAACCTATGTACCCTCTAATATATCTGTCTTTTCTCATGGGTACCTGTACAGTAGGTAAGCAGAATGGTGTGAGGCTGAAAACTGGAAGCCCAAGTTTATAGCTCTACTTCAATGCTAAGCCTTTACACAAAGGCAAAGCTACAGCTTTACCTTGTCCACAGAAGAGGATAGGAGAGAGATGAGTGTCCGTAGCAGGAATCTGTCACTGGGTCTCAACAAGGCTTTGTGGTGCTGAACGTTGGCTGCCACGTTGCTTAGGGCAGCACAGCTGTAATACTGCAAAGGACCAAGAAAAAGAGTAGAGAGAGAGGAGGTCACAGTGGTGTCATGTTGAAGAGAATACAAATAAATTGGAGAAATGCTCATATTTAGAGTTAAAGAAAATAAAAGTGCTTTTTCATCTTAAGGGTGCTTATTGGGTAGATACAACATGCTGCAGCTACTACAGCAGTCCCACTGTGGCATGTTGGACAAACTCATTAGGACCCTGGCTATTTGGGAATGTCCTGTGCTGCTGCTACGACATGGCTGCTGGCATCTAGGTCATCTGCATTTACTATATTATATGTTTCCATTGATTTACTTAAGCTGGATGTAGTTATTGCCCTAGCATGCCAAGAGATCCTTTCCAAAGGATTTAAATATTAACGCTGAGGAGGACTATACATATAGGAGTATGTATTACTGGAAAGGTGTAATTAGAAGAAACAGGTTGAACTGCAGACAAGGAAATTTTAAGATGAATCTCAGAGAAACCTGAAAATGCTGAGGCAGTTTGCAGAAAGTAATTCCAGAGGGTCCATCCCTTCAGACATTTAAAAAAAAAACCTGAATAGAGATAATAAAACTGATGGAGAAAACTATTCTGTGCTACTCAGAGGACTGAATGAACAAACTAATGGATGGTAAGGCTTACAACTCTGATCCAAAGTTCTTTCATCACCATACTTTTGAACCAAGACCAGTTCTCTGCTGAGTATGCAGAATCACGAAGAGGTATTTTTGGTAGGCATAAAAGAAGATTTCCAGATATTTACAATGATAAGAAAAAGGTCTTCACAAGTTATTTGTTCTCAGAACACTTAGTAAAATTGCTTAGAGTGGAAGATCAAAGTTAGGATGCAAAAAACCCAAAACAAACAAAAGAAAAAGACCCCAAAAAACACCAACCAATGAACCAAAAAAAAAAAAAACCAAACCAAAAAAACAGAGGAAGACCCTATCTGCAACTTGTCTGATGATCTGAAAGACATAAGAAGGTAAGCACACAACAATTCTGTTCATGCATTAATGTGTGCTGGCAGACACTCTTCTGCATCATAAACTTTCTCCTGAGGAGCTAGACAAGTTGAGTATTTTGAATACGCATTATCTGACTGAGCTGAGTTTCACCAAAATGCTCTCACATGTTTTCTGACTTCTTTAGAGAAACCTTCCCTCCTGTCCACCTTTTCACTTCTACAGACTGACGTCTGCGCTCTCCTTACAGTCACACTGTTACTGTTTTAAAATATGACCTGTTTGAGCCATACCTGCACTTCTGAGTCAGGAGATTCCAGCAGCAAGGCAAGAAGTGGTAGGGCTCCTTCCTTGCAAAGGACCTGTTGGATTTTCTCTGCCATTAAAAAGGAAAAAAAAAGTACTGTAAATGTGTCTTTCTCCTCTCCTTCCTTCCTTATCTGGAGGCACCGTTCAAAAGGGATAAGCACAATCCTTGGATTCTAGAAAGTGCTGATGTCCAAATATATGCCAGCCAGTGTGACTGGAGAGTATATAATTTAGAGCTTGTGCAATATTGCAGTATGCAGATATTTTAGCAAAATGACTAGCAGGCTGCCTGATTAAGCTTTTGCTGGTTTTATGCTAAAAACTGTTCTGAGGATCGTAATCACTAGAGAAGCTGAAAAGCCTCAGATATTTGTCTTCACCATGTTTTCTGTGCTTCAAAAGCAAATTCTTTTAAAAATTCTAAATAATAACAGAATTGTATTAGCCAAGTGTATAAGTTGTTGCCAACTGTTTCTTTCCACAAGGTAAGAGTTAAGAGGTGTTACTCATTACTTTATCATTTAACTCTGTGGAATAATGGTATCATCTAGGTAGGTGAGATTTAATGCTGGTTCGTTTCAGAGTTAATGTATGGTTGTGTACATATAATTGCAGAGGACCAAATAACTGCTTTTCATAAAGGTGTTAGCAGATATCCCAGGAGCCTTTAATGTCTGACCCATAATAGTTATATTTTGCAAAATCCAACATCAACTTAGTTAGAACAAGTAAAAAGTTCGTAGAGCTTGATTTTGTTTGATAAGATTCTGAGATTGCTTCAAAGTACTACCAAATGTGCTGCTAAATTTTATGCCAAGTTATGTTTTTAACAAATGTTTTTGGTTCTTTTTTCTATTTCTTTGATTATTTAAGTATTCATACACTAGCCCTTCGGAGTTGAAAATCAATCCTTTCTGTTCTGCTATTAAGCAAAAAAAAAGGCCTGTATCAGCTAAACTTAAATCATCAAGCTATGGTATCAACATGAATGCCATATGCAGAGGAAATGACGCTTAGATATGCTTTAATCTTGTTTTAACCCTTTTAGATTGTTTTTCTATCAGTGAGAAATTTTCTTTCAGCAATTTAGGTAAACCATTAGTCCGAAAATACCTGATTGTGTGAGGTTGAGAATAGCACCAACTGCATTTTGTTGGACTCTGGGATCATAGGACTTGGCAAGAGACAGTAGGGGTGTAACTCCTCGAGCAGCACCAATAGCCTCTCGGTTGGACTCTGGAGAAAAGAATGAGACAAAGAAAGAAATACTTAGTGCCATCCTACTGTGAGCCAGGAGCAGGACAACTAGCGGGACTTGTCCTTCGGTGTTTGCTTCTCTGATTCTTTGGTATATATCAAAATTTCTCCACATGCTCAAAGGTAACTGTTAAAAATTCCAAGAGCTAAATAGGAAAGAAACCAACTCATGAGTTCTGGATTAGCTATAGATCACAGCTGGTTCAATGCTTTTGTTTTGTGACTAGGATAAATAAAAAAAAAAGGACTGTAAGTACCCTTAAACAGGTTAACAAAGTGTCATACTTGTCTCATACCCTTGGTATGTCTGATCAAGCTATTTACAGTGTGACAACAAAAACTACATAGTTAACTGCAGGTAAGATTGAATTCATTTAGTAGGGTATATTCAGGGCCAATTTCTCTCTTTGAATGTCCCTATGTCACTCCTTTGACAGCTACAAACAAGGCAGAGGTTTCTAAAGACAGAATTTGATTTAACCCCTGAAATTTGAAAATATGCCTCTTCTCTGAAGTGCTGGTGATTCCTTGCATGGCAATGCATTAAGTTGTACAGTTGTATCCTGGAGTAGAAGGAGAATTCAAAAAAAATCTGCAGAGTCCCTTGAGACTCTTGGATAAAAACTGGGGGAAAAAACCCAAAACATATAATACTTAATGCTGTAAAATTAACTATATACAATAAAATACTATATATCATATTTATATACTATGTATATAAGCATACTACATACGATGAAGTTATACTATGTTATGAAATATAATTTAGGAGAAAGAATCTACTTTTAGTTCTGAACTTCCTGAAGGTAGCCTCAGCTGTGCAGTACAGAAGGGAATCCTTCTATTATGCTCTTCCTTACCCCTTTACCATGAGGCCATCAAAACACTGGCAACAAGTAACCTGCTGCCACACTAAGACAACTATGGTCCTATCCCCTTTACTATCTTATTTCTATCTCTATATTTTCTGTATTTGTGTCTTATAAGCACATTAGTGGCTAATTTTGAAAAAATAAGGTGTTGGCAGTGGTGTTCTTTGATGTCGATGAGATTTATATGGGAATTAGACCATTGATTAATTCTCTTCATACCATAGTACACTGCAGACTATTCTATAAAAGGAAAAAGCAAAGTCTACATCTTTCATTGTTTATATAAGCCAAACTGCCACTGAAGACCATAGGAGTTTTAGTAGAGTATTGCTTCATTTACATACATTTATAGACAGTTTAAACAATGGCCAGTCTCTGGAAGTTTGCTGAGAGAAACACGAAGCAGAACAGAACAAAAAAAAAGAAGGTATTCAGATAAGATCAAGTCTTCAGGTGCCAACTAACTTAGAGAGTTACGAGAACAAAGCTATTATTTTTATACCTGGAGCCTATCTAATAGGGAACTGGCACAAAGAGATAATCCAGGATATTTATTCAAGTATAGTTCAGATAGCACTTTAATATACCAAGACAAGTAATCTTCTGTCATCATATGAGTATTTTATACTCAAGGAAAGACCTTTTATCCTGGAAAAACATTTTGAGCAAAATAATTGTTCTGAGAAGGGTAATGTATTTAAAAATAGCTTTTCCACGTAGGAAGCTATTATTCTGGTGAAATATTCTGGTCCATTTCATAGACAAGCCTTCCTCTAATCTAAGCCGCCTACATACTATTCTTTTGTTTCCCTCAGCAGAAGCAGAAATTCTTTTGTGTGGCTCCAACTGATGGAAACCAGTCTGGTGTGATGTAAATTAATCAGCTGAGTAAAAAAGGTAAAAGGATTGAGAATTCAGGTATCACTGCTTCCTTTGCTCTTGCACACAATACACTCCATGAATGTTTGTAAATGTGGGAGAGAACCTCACATTTGAGCAAAGGGATTATAACCATTTGGACTTGGGCAAATTCTTTCTTCCATCTAGATAGATATTGTGGATGAACACTGTTGTGTCAAGTTATGACAGACTGGTTGGAGAGACTTATCTCACATGTCTTACATGTGTAACTGTACTATCAACTCTGTCAGAGATGAGGCAGGTTAGATCTAGATGTTTCTCTCTCGGACCACCTGTTTATCTTAAATAATGCAGTCCCTCCACTGATGCCCCTTGGAATGCTTTTTGAAGGAAACCACGTGTTCAGATGCTACTCTAAAGTAGGGAAATCAACAGCATCTACTCAAGCTGTGTTTGAATAGCTCACCTCAAAACTGCATTTATAAATTCTTTCTTTCTACTCTCTGACATTTGTGTGCTTGAAAATTCTTCTATCAGAACAGCTTTGAATGTGCTCTACACTTAGTGCATCCTCATTTTAGCTTAATGCACGTGTTCAGGCCTCCCTAAACCCTGAAGCTGTGAACATTTAGTTCTGTTCTGGTATACTTTGAGAAGAGTTCTTATCCCAGAACTGATTACTTTCACTCACTGATTGAAAAGCTACAGATAATTACAAAACGCATGTGTCCTTTTGCTGCATGGACAAATACTGGTGTTGGAACAAACTAACCTTCAAGTCATGTTCATCTGAATGGGTTGGTTTGCACTTCTTATTTTTGGCTACCTATTGCAGCAGGTAAGTACCAGACAATCCAGCTTACACATAACTTGCAGTCACATTGCTAAACAGCTTCACTGTGTGCATAGCCTTGCATGCTTGTTGTAGCAGAATTAAGACCATTCTTAGACACAGAATTTTAGTCACCTTCAAGCTATCTAAGGATCTTCCTAATTTGACTGTGCTTCCATACGTCTCTTTTTGCATGAATGGCTTACTTGAAAGATGTGACTGAACAGGATACTTTTATCAAGCAGACACTTCAAAATATCATAGTCTGTGAGTTAAAATTAAAATAAACCCTAGAAAATTGCCTCTTGCTTTAGTCTCATTGCTATGGTAGCTAAATATCGTCTGAAAAACAGATAGACCCAGTCCCTCCAAATCCTGATTTAACTGGGACAGAGATACTCAACACTTATCAAATGCCAGGCAGCAACCCAGCCTATGCACTTGCAGGACTGCCTACCTTTCCTGTCTAGTTTGAAAGCTTCTTGAGAGCTTAATTTGAACTACTTGTGCTCAGAGGGACACTGGCACTTAAGGGAGTGTGCAAAGGCATTATGTGACCACCTTCAACAGGGAATGAAGGTGGACTGGTTCTGGAGTAGCTGAGGGTTCCCTATATTCCAGGATAAAGATATCTAGAAGGGAGAAAGTGCCTTCAGGACTAAGTAACATCCTTAGGTCCCCAAACAAGTCACTTTCTCTGTGGGCTACTTAAAACAGGTGAAGGGATACCTCTGTAAATTTTCAGGGCCATAACTTCAGTGACCATACAGAAAAAAAGTCCTTCTAGTGCCAGGTACCTAAAATTTTAGTGATGCCATGCCTAATTGAGACACTTAAATGAGGCAATTTGCATTCCACACAAAGCAATGTTGTATGCAGAATTCTTAACCTGACTGTAATAATATACAATGCCTAAAAATAAGTTCCTAAGGGAAAAGTGTTTAAAAATCTGAAAATACACACACAAAAAAAAGGTGGGATAAAATGCAGATCAGCACTTTCATGTAGTTGCATCCTGCTTATCCACTTCCCTTTTGCAACCTAAATACTTAAGTGAGAAATGAACACTGTCATCATGCTTCTCTCAACCTTCTGGGACAACCTCCTATTCTGTAGAGGAAAGCTGGTAGAATAAATACTACAGGGAAGGAAATAAATGTTATTTATGGCTTTTATACAAACTTGTACACAAATTGTACAGTAGAATTACACGGTTTGCACAAGGTAGAAGTAGTCAGACTAACTTGATAACCTTTCTTTTGGTAACTGTGGTTGAACTGTCTGGATACCAGGAAAATATTTATATCATAATATGAAACATGCATAGTTAAGCAAAAGAAGTTGATGACAAATGCAAGTAGTACATGATGGATAACAAACTGACTGAAACCAAGCTGGCAACAAGTTTTGCTGAATGGGAATGACCACCTGGAGTAGGCCACAAATGGAATTCCACTGGTCTGTAGCTGGTTTTGAACCAGAAAGTTAATATACAAAGGTGTGAGTGCAAAACTGTCAATGCAGTGGAGGACTGGAATATTTTACAAATAACAGACAAGTTAGAAAACTGGAGCAACAGAAACAGAATGAAACCTTATAGTACAAAATGCAGGGATGTGCACTTGGAAACATTTGTGGTAGACCCTCAATTAATTGGTATCTGCCAGAAATTGCAGCAGAGGAGGAGAAAGATTAAGTGATTAAGTCAGCTGCAGGATGACAACATCACCATGGCACGCTCACCAAAACAGCGGGTGTTAGTTATCATGAGATGTACCACAAAACATATTTTCCTAGGTGCCACAGCTGAAATACTGCACATTTCTCGTGACTTCGCTTTCAGAAGACATGAATGCAAAACGGAACTCCCACAGCATTTATGTATATCTTGGGACTGTAACAAAAATGCCTGAGGTCTATGGTATCACAATACAGCAGATGCAAATGCTATGTTCATTCCTGGAACATATCATTTACACCCAGAAGGACTATGAAGATGAATGGAGAGTACTTACAAGGAGTCTTAAAAGAGCTTGGCTTTCTTGGTCTAGTAAAATGAAGGAGCCTCATCAGCATAGACCAGAGAGATAGAACTAATGAAGCAAAAGCCAAGGTAGACATTAATTAAGATAAGCTGGTCATGAATATATTTAGGATGAAAATCAGAGAAAGGTTTGTAATCATAAGAGAATGAAGGTCAGAAACACTAAGAAAAATTCCTTAATTGGAATATCAAAAGGTTGAATTTATAATGTGGGAATACCAAAACTTGCTGCTGCATCTTATGACTCTTAAACCAAATGTAAATAGGTTGTTTTTTCTTGAAATGTGATCTAAGAGTTGGATGAATTCATTGCAGATGATAAAGGGAAAGAACAGCACACTCACCTGAAACAGCCAAAGTCATGATGCAGGCACAGGAGTTACACTGGACAGTGGGATCCTCTGACTCAAGTAGATCCAGAATTGGCTCAAGTAAACCCATTTTAACAACTAATTCTTTGTCAACTATTCATAAATTCAGGAAAAATAATGGACAAATAAAAAAATAAATAGTTAGTGCCTCTGTGGAAAGAATATACCATTCTTTGACTGTTTTCAGAATCTGTATTATGATTATACAAAACAGATCTAAGATGGAAACAGTCTGATAGTCACTCACAGTCCCTAGCTTGGTTTGCTCGATTCCTCTTCAGACTCATGCAAGAGTGTAAGAGATGTTCAGAAGTTCTAGGGTAGAAGGTCCCAAATATTTCTGTTAGAAATTCTGTTTACAAACATAAGGGTAATTTTGGAAAGAGCAACTGCAGCTTTCCAATAGGTTCACAATTTACTCAACACTCCCCTCACTGTTTTTCTTCCCTTTAAATATTATTTTTTACTTGTTAATAGTGACATGATATTATTTGCAGCAAAATCCTTTAAAAAAAGCAAAGAAAAAAGGTAGCTTCACTGAAGACTGACCCCATCTTCTGTTGTTATGGGATTGAGTGATGAAATACTTGTGGCCCAGGTGCCAGGAGTGCAGTAGTAGATGCAACAAGGACTCTGTTGACCAGGTGTGAGGTGTTCGTGCCCTGTCTATCAACATAAACTTTATTGGGAAGTTTTTCTTCTGCAGATCCCAGATCCTATTTCAATTCCATTTGCCCTATTAGTTACAGAAGAAAGTGAATTCTACTAAATGTTTTAACCTTTTTTTTATCTCCAAGAAATTAAGGTCTAGTTCATAAATAACAAGAAAATGAGCACTGTCTCATAGATAGAGCTTATTTCTAAGAGTTTTATCTGTTGTTTGAAAAGGCAAGTGTTGGGCTCTCAATCCAAGAATGAGAATAGAATTCCCACACCAGTCTGGGAATAATTTATCAGCCTTTGCGCACAGATTTAAGAACTCTTGCCACATGATATAATCAGCTGGAGGAATCTTATATGTCTTGGTCCCACTAGAACACAGAAAAAGTAATTTAGATTTGTGTAGACCTGGGTGTGTAGATGTGCCTTCCTTCTATATGAGTCTGGCTGAAGAGATACTTTTTCACCTGAAGAGAGATGTGCTGTTAATTACTCACTGTGTCCTTCCAGCAAGAAGTTGACAAGGGACAAGGAAGACATCTGCTGCACCTCCAGGTCAGCAGATCGTAGTAAGGCATAGAAGGGTTCCAGATGCTCCACAGGCAGGGGGATGTTCACTGCAAGAAAGAGAGGAAATATTCATGAGTCTCATTGCTCACCATAGTCACATTTTTTCCCTTACTGATCTTAAGCCTCAGGTGCTCCCATACATAGGCTGAGTGGTATTCCCCTTCATTTAAATTCCACTGCTATTAGCAAACAGGGCAAGTTTCCTGAAAAGGTTTTGAATAATCAAGTACTTCAAAAACATCATGGGAAGGAAAGCAGTATGCCTTGCTACAAAGCAAGTCATTCTGCCTCACAGCAGGTCCTTGTGTTGTGGCTACCTGCACTTTTTATACAGCAAAAAATACACGGGATAAAGTTATTACGCCATGTGACAGAATATTCTCTTTGAAGTAAATTTAAGACAAACAAATAGATAATAAATTGCAACCCGCTTGTTGCTGGTATTTCTACCTTTTTTTAGAGGCCAAAGTCTTGCTGGAATTTTATTTGGGATATCTAGGTTGACTCCTAACCATTTACAAATTTCCTCAGGAGCCGAGCGCTCCCACAGAATAGTTGGGACAAAGGAGAATGTTTCCTTCATAAACTTTCACTACAATCTGGCCTCCAGAACTTTGTCCTCTCTTTCAAAGATTATATGATATGAAATATTAGCTGGTCACTATGCCCATTTCCTTCCACTATATTTTGACTGTGTTGCTCTCAGGAGATTCAGTATACACTAAGTACTTTGAGTTCTACTGAGTTTTACAGAATTATTACAATTACATAAATGACAGTCGTTTATAATCATAAGAGATATCTCCTCACAGCAAAACCGTGAATTGACTCTGCCTACATGGCAATGACAGAATTTCCATTTTCCTTAGCAAACAACATAGCATGAAAAAAAAAAACCAACCCCAAACTCCTTAATAAATCAAAGGGAATTTCACAGTTGGAAATAATACTTTTATTTATAATTATGTGAAAATTTTCCAATGCACTGAGATAACTTACTGTGCTGACTCATATGCAGGTAATAGAGGGCAGCTGACTGCTGTAAACCTGGGTTTTCTGAAAAGGCTAAGGTCCTCAAGGCCTCCAGGGAGTCCTTTCCAAGGGGTGACATTTCAAAACCTAAAGATGTACAATGACAGCACAGGCTTAATTACACCTGAAAAGGGTTAGTTTACAAAAATGCATTAAAATTTATAGCCAACCAAACACATAAGGATTTTTGTACTGCAACAACTCCATAAAGCTCATCTACCCTTATTCACGTTTCCATGAGCAGAAGCAATAGATGAATTTGGAATAACATGTTCTTAGTAATGCCTCTTGTAAAGCTCTCAAAGCTAGTGATTCAAAGCAAGATAAATTATAATTTTTAAACACTTTTTTTAATGTTATCTAATATAAATGCAGGTGTTCTTGTTCTCCATAAAAATCTTTATCTTTTTCCGAATTACAGAAGATGTTTGTTAAAAAAAAATCTACTGAACGTCATGTTCTTAGTTATGAACTATAGAAAGAGTATATATTTTTAATTTACTACATTTGAAGTTCACTGTGTTTCCAATCTTGGGTATTACAATAATACCCAATCATTTTTTACAATAAAGAATTTAAGGGAATAGCAACATGGATTGCAAATAGATTTGCCTCGGGGTCTAGCATGAGTCTACCTGTACTTAAGTATGATAATTCCCCTATGAATAAACCAGATGTTCAACAATAGCCATCAAGAAACAGCAGTCATGTGTGACTTCTGAAAGTCACTGTATAAAATAATGTGTGAAATGGAGCAGCAGAGAGGAAAATAAAAGGGACATTGAACCAATGCTCAGTAGTATGAACTGAGCTGAAAAAGTAATGTAGTATAAATTGACTGGTGAAGTACACAACTATAAGATATGTTTTCAGGCAACGGATTAAAGCTATGCATTAATGACTGAAACATCTCTTTGAAGCATATCTAGCTACTTTACCTCCCATAGGAGAAAGAGATGTGAGGGTTGTGAGGGACAGGAGCTTTCATGCCTCTATGCAAAACTCAGCCAATATCTCATGCCATTAGAAGCTGCTGGCATGTCAAGACTAGCTAACTCCTACTTTCAGGATTAGGTAAGTGAGCTTCGCTTCATATAAAGATCAATTTTCTTTAATAATTAACAATACACACAAAGGGAAGGACTGGCCTGTGTGTGAAGGTTTTAGAGAAAAAAACCAAAAATCTCTTCATGTGGTTTAATTCTGGCCCTTACACACTGACTATCTGAATCTTCCACATATCTCTGTTTTTGTTTGGGAGAGTGATAAAGCAGAAACCACTCAAAATCTTCACCTGCCTATAATATCAAACATTTGCCGCCCTAGCTAACAGGTGAGTATGATGATCAATCATGAAGTCTCTCCTTGCATGCAAATTGTCCAAACACTGGCTTCCTGCTTATTACAATTTATTCAGAACTAAGGACGGGCTTGCTCCATCTTGGAATAAAATACACAGGTGAATGTTAAAGTAAGAGGGATGTGTCTTGGTTCTCTTTGCGAGGTTTCCCTGCCTCCATCTATCTTGGCACCAGGATTTGGTCACTCAGAAAACTGACCTTGGTTCTGCTTCTTGGGTGCTGTGTATGTCCTGTCATGGACAGTGGGACCTCCCTGAAAGCACACATTGCCATCTGTGTACTGCTGTCAGAGAAGCTCTAGGCTTCCTGCTGCTGTACCCCAACTCCTGAGGATCCAAGCCAGACCAGCCTTTTGAAGACTGATCTCAGAGAAGAAAGGATCTCTCCAGGAAAACATACACTTGGTCTTTACAGGAAGCACCAGTGGGTGCTGCAAGGGGCCATTCTGGCCCCACCACTTTTTCCAGAGCACCCCTTCATTACACCTGATCTATCAGCTGAGCTGGGATACTGCCAAGACAATCTCATACAGTCAGGAGCATGCTAGCCTTTGAAGAAAAAGTTCAGCTGTGGAAGATCTCCACTGTATAACAAGCTAAAAGATCCGGCCCTATTCTGGGTATCAATGTCAGGATTTAACCAGTGTTTAAGGTGCAACAATTAGTGAACCACAGCAGCAGCACAGGACCCACCATTTTCATGGGTAATGACACCAGCTAATACCAGCTGAGGTTAATTCACACATGCTGCCAACAACCAGCGTCACAGCAATTATTGCAAAGGTTGTTCCGCGACAGATTATTTCAAACAGCGTTAACTGTGTCACACCGAGGAAAAGCGTCTCTCCTGGTTCCCCTCACATGTTAGTTTTATGTTCCCAAAAAGGCAAGTAAAGAAATAGTAGTTTGTGTTCCACACCTTTCACACAAATGAAAGTAAAAGGCTATGCAATTCTGTGTAGTAGCTTTAGACCAAAGTAGCCAAACTTAAAATAATATACCCAATCAGCTGTGAGACACAGCAAAACCAAACAAGCAATGGCCCCTATCTAAGCTTGAGACAAGGACTGGTTTTAGGTTGGACAATTGACAAAATACACTCATATAAGATGACTGCAGCAGTGAAATAAAAAAAAAGAAGTTTTCTTATTGATATTGTTGTATCTTAGGACAGGACAAAGAGGACATCACAAATAGATAAACAGGGGAATTAGGCAGGTAGCCTGTAAAACAAAAGAGACAGATGAAGAGTTATTGATATACTTTTATTCGAGCAGAAATCCATGACTGTGCTTAAGCCTGGTCTCTAAAATATTTGCACAAAAGCACAGTTTCTTAGAATCCTGGGAACCCAACTATGCTTGTCCCAAGGTGACTTTGACCTTCCTCGTATATAGCTCAGACACCCCTAGCACAAGTCCAAGTGTTCTGCAATCAGCCAACATGGAGGTGTTCAACTGTGCACATCACACTGTGATCTGCCTGCTCACAGCTCAGCACTCAGGTCTTGGCACAGCTCCCCTCTAGCTCCGTGAGCTCAGTGACTGACTTAAAAGAACTAACTTCAATTACTAGAAGGACTCACTTTTATGAAACATGGGTTATGTACTAAGAGTGGTAGCAGAGCAAGAAAGTGACTGACCATTTCTACCTAGATCCAGCTGTGCGACCACTTGAGCTCTTGGTGTCCTGTACACAAAGAAAGTGTTCTGTTACTCTGGCCTTTCCTACATCATCACCAACTGCCCGTGCCAGAGCAGATCAGCTAGCAATCTGCTCTCGACCCACAAAATCAACCTCCTTGTTCTTTCACAACCCTTTAGAAAAAGACAAGTCCTCTTACCGGTTTCAATGTGCTGCAGAAACTCCTGTGCTGTCACCCTCTCATGGGGCTGTAGGATGGGCTTGTACAGCTGTCTGGTTTTAGAGCTGTTTTGTTTTAAGCAGGAGCATTTGCTTATCAGAATCAAGCATTCCTTGACACTGTGCACCAAACCAGAGGACATCCTCTGAACAAAGGCTACGAAGTCCCGCAGCAGCTGCATGCATCGTCCACATAGTTGACCCATTCTTGTTCCAACAGCAGCACCAAGCAAGAAGAAAACTAAGGAGATGGAAAGAAAAGTTTCTTCTCAACTTGTCCACTTTTTGCACTAGCTAGCTTCCTCAGTGTTTGTTCTGTCTTACAGAAGCTAACATCACACCATATGCGACTGCTGTAAAACAGACAATCTTCTGTGTCCAAAAAGCTACATTTTACAAGACTGGTTTCTGCAGATCTCCCAGATTGTACAAATTATTATTTAAAAGGCTTGACTGGAGACACGATCAAACACTTTACTTGAAGAAAAATAAAATAATTACCTAAATAGAGTCTGTGGAGAACAAATGGAGTTTAAATCCCGGAGCATCCACCAACGACTTCATGAGGTTAGAAAAGCTCTGGAAAACGCAACCTCAGTTTTTGTAAGACAGCCTTCCACATGAAAGGTAGGCACCACCTTGCCTGCATGAGTACAAGCTGCAGCTACCAATGGGAGAGGAAGATTAAAAAAAAAAAAGAAGGAGAAAGTGAACAGGTTTTTCCAGTTTTTGCTGAAGCACAGACCAGAACAAAGGCGCTGTTGGACAAACAACTCATAACTCAGTCAACTGAGACTTTGCAAATCAACAAGAATAGAAAACTGGTAAAAAAAATTACAGTGGCCAAATGAATTTAGCACTGTTTTCCTCCTGTCAAGCAAGTCCTGCAAAGTGAGCTGGATAAGCTAGCAATGGGAGAATACAAAAATTATCTGCAGTATTCATGCAGAGAAAGGAAGCAAAAGGAAAATGAGCAGTTCTTCCTTTGCTCCATCCTTTTGCTTAATTCACCATTCTAGTGCATGTGCCCGCCCTTGGTTGAACAATTTTACAAATTACCCTAGTCTAGTTAATGTAGCATGAAGTGATATTTGTAATATTGAGGTTTCCAGTAAAATCTGGTTTGATTCAAGATCACCTTAATTAGGGATCCTGTAGGTACTGGTCTTCTGAGTGTTGATCACTTTTATAAACTTCTTCTTATTCATGGATTTGATAGATTTATTCTAACTTTTGCATTTGATACATTTATTGGTAAGTATTAGCCTTACTGTCCTTTAATAGATCTTTTGTTTCGAAATAAATCACGTTTGAAAATCAACTTTTTGTTTTGCATCCATCTCCAAGCACTCATGAACAGGCTCACCCAAATCTCACTGGTCTGTCCAGCTACTGCTATTTCTTCTCTTACTTACACATGATGTACTTTTCCTAAACACAAGTATCACATGGTAACTACACCAGTAAACCAAAAGGTATGAGACCTCTAATACATAATGCAATCCATTACAAACAATCAGGACTTTGATTTTTCTGGCTACTTCCTTGACCAGTTCTGCAAGCCTACTGAGTTCTGACCTCTGTTTTGCTTCTTAATATTATCAAAAGCAAGGTTAATATTTCTGTTTTCTCACTATGTCTTCTGGATCCTTTCAAAAGGGATCTTCTCAAGCATGGGGAACCCATGTGATCGTCAGGTCCTACTTCTGCCACTGCTTGCTCTTCACCTTTTGCTTACAATCTTCCAGTCTTCAGCCTTCATCTAAAAGCAGATCCCAGTAATCCATTGCATCCTCCTTCTACCTCTTACTCTGTTCTGTATCATGAATAGTAAAGTTTAATTGGGAGGCATTTTAAAGGTAGTTTGAACTGTACTGCACTGAGATGAGAAAAAACCAGAACTGTTTCAATGAAACATTTTTTAGTAATGACTGCATTTCTGTAACATGTTCTTCCTAAGCATTTCAAAACTTATTACAAACACTAAAACAGCTTTTCAATATATCTGTAAGGAAGATATTCCTAAAAACGTTTAAAAACAAATTTCAGAGGTGCTGAGCTCTTGAAATTCCATTTTAAAGAAGTGCATAACACCTGAAAATTAGTGTATAACTTGCCTGAAGGCATAATACTCAGGTGTCCCGATACCTAGTTTGATGATTCAGTCAGGAAATTGTTCTTTGGTTTGAAACCATTACTTGAAAGATAGTGTAGAAGGCTGGTTTGTGGGTCTTTAAACATACTCTGAATTCACAATAGCTGCTGTAAAGGTAAAGGTTATAAATGCAATGTTTTTGATTAGTTTCATGACCTTAATATGTTTCCTTTTCTGACTGAATAAAATGTCATCTCAAGTCTGCAGGAGGAGAAGATATAGTAGTACTCTAATAGTGCTAAACCGTTTTGATTTAATTCTTCTACAGAACATGTTTCAAATACTAAGCATCCCACATTCAACATCATCATTTTTTTTTCTCCAAGGAAAAGAAAAATCAGTTCCTTTGCAAAATGTTAAAAAAGCGTCTCCAAAGCATTTCCATTCAGGTGTGTGCAAAAGAGACTTTCAAGCAGTAACATTATTGTATGAAGGCTATCTGGAATTCTGTATAAATTGCATTTGGAAGTTTAAATCTATTTGCCAAATAATAGATGAATGCTGTAGTTAAATGGTACTTTCAGTGGAGAGCTTCCACTGGTCCAGCATTTTATCTGCTGTGTAGCTTGTCTACAAACTACAGAAAATACTACTTTTGAGTACAGTCTCTTTAGCATCTGACACAGTGGGTTCGTTTTGTTTTGAATCAAGAACAGAAAATCTCAAAAATACATTTGTTCATTTGCTATTTCGCTCATGCAGCACGCCACTACTTGAACCACTTCTTGTAACAGAAATTCCTTAATTTGCAGTGGTGCACAACTTTTGGTTGCCCACAAGTTCACTGGTACTGGAGAGATGTATACAAATAATCTCTATACTCCTCTTTCATATATCACTTAGAACCTCTTCATACTAACAGGACACAAAACACCCTCAGGCTCTGACATGAATATCGGAAAAAACAGGTCAGCTTTATCTGAGATATGGTAGCAAAATTATAGCTCCAGGTTCTGGATTTTATAAATAGTGTTATAACTGTGATTTTAATAAATGGAAAAAGGATTTTTGGGGAGTGTAGAGGAGAGACAGTGATTGAAAACTTATGTAGTCTTATTTGACTTGTGAGCCAGTCAAGTGAGAAAACAGATACTTACACGCTTAAACAGCAGTAAATGGAATTTCACATTACTCAAGAATCCAAAAATCTAAAAGATTTAACTAATTGAATTTGCATTTTATAAATTTATCCCATGACATTTTTTATTGCAACTTTGTCTTATACACATTTCTTTCACTCTCTTCTCTCTCCTTCCTGTTCAAGGGTGAGAAAATCACTGTACAGTTTAGAAAGCTGTATGATGGCTGTGCATTACTGCTTGGTTAGGAACAGATGTGATTTTAAAGGTTATAGCTCCCCTAATGCCTAGCAGGTCTTTATTGTTCCCATACCTGCAGTTAAGGCCTCCTCACTTGTACTAATTCAGTGCAACTGCTCTGTAAACTGAACAATTTCCAGATCTATGAAATTTTGTGACTACGAAATACCAACAGAAAACAATCAACAAACCATAGGACTTAAGTCCTCAAACTGGACCTACCATTAACAAAAGAGTAGAATAAAATAATGAATTTCAAAAAGATGACTGGGGAAGCAGAACGACTGTAAAGCCTGAGTCTAATGTGTGCAATTTACATTACTACTGAGCTCTTTTATATATTTTGTGTATATATATATATATATAATACATATAACAAATATATATAAAAATATATACTTGTGTACGTGTGTATGTATGTATATATTCACCACTACAATTTCAGGAGGAATTCAGATGAACAGTAATGGACTACAGTCATTTAAGGAGGTAGGAAGTCAGAGGTAAGGACTTGATAGATTGATTGCCAGAGGTTACTTCATTGCAAAGCTTCATTTGCATTCATTGTAATTTTGTAGGGTATAAAGGAAGTTGTTCTCACTGCATCAAATTCCTTGGCTGAGGCATTTGCTCATTCTCCTTCAGAGGGAGAGTGCCATCTACTGAAGCATCTCCTTGACACAGCTTCCTTGAACCTTGTCCCACTCATGGATTGACAAAATCCACTCAAAGGGGTTGTAAAATGGAACAAGGTTTTAACAGAAGGAGCAGCTGCTATAGATGTGGATGTCTTGTAAAGTACCAGCACCACATAAAGGACCAGGCCAAAGATGGTAAGTAACACCACTGACTTGTGCAAGTCTGTGCTACAGTTTTTTAAGAGATTAAAGACAGCCTTTTTGTGTGTTTCTTCATTCCTAGTAAATCTTTGGAACTGAGGTTATATTATCATTCTGTAACTCTTAGGAGTGGCATTTCCTGATGAGAAAATCCAGTTTCACTGCTGTCTACTAACGATGGACTTTACTACTCATTTCCTGTTTCTATGTTAGTGCTCAGAAGATGTACAACTTTGCAGCCCTCTCACTGAACGGTGAGAACATCTGCTAACAGTCACCAAGGGTCTGGCTTGGGCTGGTGATAACACAGTATTATTGTACTGCTTTGTCTTTATGTATCTTCATGTATCTTCCCATTGCCTTGCACTGCATATTTTATTGTAAATTTTCTGGACTATTGCTGTATTCAAATAAAGCAGCAGTTTGTGTCATGCCCAGAGTTACTGTCTCCTAGGATAATAATAAGCACATAAATTGAATTATTTTTGGGATTTTTTATTGCTTAGTAGCAAAAGATAGTGCCTCTGAAATATCAAAGGCAGGTCAGAAGTGCCTACGTACCTTAGAGGTTTGAACAAACTGTATAAAAACTGTATAAAAATAATCTCAAATTTTACAAGATAAATTATCCCAATTTTACAGGATAAATTATAGTCAGGGCATCAAGAGGAAAGGGAGACCAGTCAGGTTGTATTTCATATCAATACCCCTAGAAAGCCACTGCTTTGATGTGTTTCAAAGCACAGGTGCATGTCCTGCTGTTTTTGCTACAAAGGGGCTGCACTGAAGGATCACACAGCCCAAATGTCAAAAGTTTGGTAAAACAAGGAGTGAACAAAATTTCAAAACAACTTGCATTAATTGTCATTAAACAAATATATTTGAAATAATTAAAATATATTTTCAAAAAGTTTCATGTTATAGTTCGTTTCCTCTGGGCATATAGCACTTTGTCTTGAATACAGTGGAGAACTGAAAGAGTAGAGGTCTCCGCGCTTTCTGTCCCAATAAGATACATCTCATGTATCTTATGTTGGCTTATGTCCCACAAATCTTTGTTGGTGCCAGCGGGATTGAGTGCACCCTCAGCAAGTTTGCTAGTAACACTAAGCTGAGCGGTGTGGTTGACAAACTAGAGGGAAGGGATGCTATCCAGAGGGACCTGGACAGGCTTGAGAGATAGGACTGTGTGAACCTCATGAAGTTCAACAAGGCCAAGTGCAAAGTCCTGCACATGGGTCAAGGCAAAAAACTTAAGAGTTAGTTGCCCAGAGAAGCTGTGAATGCCTATCCCTGGAAATGTTCATGGCCAGGCTGGATGGGGTTTTAAGCAACATGGTCTAGCGGAACGTGTCCCTGCATGAACATCCCACCCATTCTCAGGACCATTAAGAAATAGGAGAAGGTGTATTGCATGCAGCCAAATCCCGTGACGGTTCTGAAAACAGTTCATTGTCACAGATCAAGGAGCCTCCTCCTAATAGTGCCTTATTGTTGGTTACAGCAAAAGGTGTAGCATGTGTGCTGCACTTGAGGTACAGGTTAGTTACCGCTACCCCTGCAGAAGGGAAAAAAACCTTAAAAGGAGTTTTGTCCCTCTCTAGGCCAGACCATTCATCAGTTAACCACAGCTGGTGAGAACTAAAAGCTTTCACTGTATTTATTTCAGTACCAACTACTCATCGGTTGCTGCCTCCATAGAAGGCCAAGCTTAAAAAATCCTTAAAAGAAATAGATCTAATCAGTGCATCACTTTTCCAACACATGAAACAGCCAACCAGCATTTGGGGATTATGTCTGCTTTGCATATTACATGCCTTTTTCCTCTATCATTTGCTTTTGCCTGCCTCACAATGTCCTCCGAATTTAAAAACTCACTTAAAATGGTCTATATGCGTCCTTTCTTGCTATTTTTAATGTTTTTTCTTGTCTCAGAAATAATATGTAGTAGCCTTCAAAAAAATAAACAAGCTGTGTAAGATTTGAGTAGCAGGAATTGCTCATCGATGCTCTCAGGCACACGGTATGATCCGTGGGGATGGACCTGTTCAGGGCTGAGAGTTGGACACGGTGATCCTCGTGGGTCCCTTCCAACTCAGCATATTCTATGATCCTGTGAATTTTAGGACCCGGCCAGCCTACACACATCCTGTGTATCAGTCAATACTGCTCACTCGCAGCTCTCGGCTGTACTTTCCTGGTGGCGCAGACACCCTGGGCGCGCTTCTCCCGGACGTGGCGCTGCTGTATCGCACCCAGGCGACGGGCGCCCATCTGCTGCAAAGCTGCTGCAGTGAAGCGCCGCGGCACCGCCATCTCCCTACCAGCGCAAGGAGCAGCGGCTGCCAATGCCGCTGGATGAAAAGCCGCTGGCTGGGCTCCGCTCCACACACAAGCGCTTCCAAGACATTCCCGTGCATGGATGCGCACCCCGCCCCACAGGTAACCAGGCAACGGCCAGCGCGGCCCAGCCCCCCGCGCCTCTTCGGAAAACGGGAATACAAAAGGCGACAGCTTTTATTTGCAGCGGTGCAGGACGGGGCGAGAGGGCGGCGGGCCGGGTGCGGAGTCCCCGGCGTTGGGCAGGGACACAGCTGGGCCGAGGGTGGGCGGCCGCCCTCCCCCATCTTGCTTAAGGACGGGTACCCGAAACCAAAATGGCGCCCGGGCGCTGAGTGCGGGGCCGGCTCTTCCCCGCCCGGAGCGGAAGTGACGCGACGCCCGCCCCGCTCCCTATGGTGGCTCCTCTGTTTCTTCGCGGGCCCCGTGTCTCTTCCTCCGGCCCGACGGAAAATGGCCGTGCGCCTGCCATAGGGGAGCGGGGCTGCAGGGAGTTCCGCCCGCCAGGTGAGGGAGGCGAAGGGGCCGTGGGGAGGTTCGGCAGGGCGGTGGCCCCGGGTTGGAGGGAAGATGGCGGGGGAAGCCTGAGGGGGGCCCAGCCCGGCCCCGCCCCCCCCTCGCGCCTCCTCCCGCCTCCCTTCCCCCTCCCGGGCCGCGCGGTGTCCGCGCGCCGCGCCGTCCCGCCCTCCCCTGCCGCGTGACCTCGGCGCTCCGCAGCCATTATCCCGATTATCCCGGGCCAGACCCCGGGACCGGGCCAGGAACGGGCAGGCGCCGTCACTGCCCTGCCGCGGGCCGAGCCGGCGTCGCTCCTCCCCGCGCCTGGACGGCGCCCCGGGAACCGAAGGTAGAAGGGGGAAGGGGCGGCGGGAAGCGGAGGCTGATCTTCCTTGTAGCTGTTCCCTGGTCCCTGGAAGCCCCGCGAGGCGGGGGTGTGGGGAGGGAGCGTCCGGCGCCGTCGGGCCTCGCCCCGGCAGTGCGGCCTTTGGCTCTGGGCCTCCCGTGGGAGGCGGGAAGGCCCGAGGGGATGTGGCTGTGCAGCACAGATTATGGGAGTGTTAAATCTCCCCGTTATTCTCGCGGGTGTGACGCCGAGGAGGGAGAAAGGATGCTTCCCGGTATTGGATCAGCCTTTACGGTCGATGGAGGAACTTCCCTTCGGGCATGGCTGTGGTCCAGGCTCTGGTGCCTGAAACACCCCGCGCCTTCCCTGCCCTGCTTACAGATGCTCGCAAAGCCCCGTGAGGGGCAGGAGTGGGTTTCAGCCCCTTGCTGAAGGGTGCTATTGTGTTCCCAGTGTTGATCACAATGTAGTGTGCCTGTAGTTGCAGGATCTTATCCGTTATTTCTCCTTTGCTTTGTAACCTCCCTACTTTTCACCTTTAATTTTGTGAGAATCAGATTCTCGCTTTCTGTGTCATGGTGATCCTTTACCAAGTCACTTGTTTATCTCAGAGATCAAAGTTTTGCCTTCACTGCAGCAGTTAAATTTTATTATACAGAAAGGCCCGAGGGCATGCAAAACAAAGGTGCTCTTGACGCTGCAAGTAGTCACTGCTTGAGCAATGGCTGGCATATTGTAAATGTATAAAAACATCACTTAGAGTAGTTGTTCTCGGTGTGGGAGGGATTGATTAAAGAATGTGGGGTTCCAGGAAAATGCTGTCTAGCTGTTGTCTTCCTCCCCTTTCCTCCTCATTCTCCTCTCCGATAATCACGTTGTTTTGGACAAAAGTAGGGAAAATAAGGGGATAAAGGCTCTGGCACTGATGTGTGCTCCAAGCATTCAGCTTCTTATGGCATGGAGGGTAGGAATTGCATCCTCCCACTCCTCGCTTTTGATGTTGAGTGACAGGCTGTGCTGAATGGCAGGACGAGGTTCAGTGTGTTACATCTGTTGGTAACTGCCTCTCTCCTGGCCAAGACTTTAGTGGGCCCTCCTCTGTGGAGGCCACAGGTGAAGGCTGTTGCTGAGGGAATTCTTTCTTGGGGGAAGGGGGAAGTAGGGAGGATCGCGTACCATGGAGAGGGGGCTGTTTCCATTGGGCATGCAGAAAACTCGGAGTGGTTGTAGAAATTTGGAAAAGATCAGCAGGGAGTTGTTTGGATCTAGGGTGCAGGTATTTGAATGGATTATATTCAGTCTGGTTGTCAAGGAGAGATAGTGATGTAGGGGTTTGAGGAATGCCAGAGAACATTTAGGGATTGTTTACAGAGGGGATAGGTGAAGGAAGCTAATGAGGAAAGTAAGCCTTCAGGTTACAACTATGTTCTGTTTGTCAGAGTCTCTCCCAAAGGTATTCTCAATAAGTGCACTGGTGTTCACTGTGCTGTCACTGGCCTCCCTGCAGCCTTGTGGTAGATGGAATCTGGGAGACCTGAAAAGTCAGCTTCTGTCCAGAGTAGTTTTTTTTCTGGATCAGGTCACTGCTGCAGCCCACCAGGCTGTGGTATCAGTCTTGAAACAAATGAGGAAGGGACAGTTGCCTTTTCTGCAGCAGCATGCTCGTACTTCATCACAGAGATTGTGGAAACCACTGTGTAAGGGCATATGAAAACACTGTGTTTAAAACTCACACACACACACAAAAAAAACACCACCAAAAAACCAGAAAGGCTATCCAAAAGAACGTGTCCAAAGGCATGCTAATTTCTTTTTGTGTATTGAGAAATTTCTTTTAAAAAGTCACTTTGCTTTCTGTGTTTTTTAGTTAGAGGAGAAATATGCTTTTGTTTGCCAGTAGTATTACATAAAAGAACAGCTAACAATCATATGACAGTTTTTTGCAGAGGTGATTTTGCTCTTACTAGATTGCTGTCTTTTGACTTATTTTACAAGTATTTTGTATTGTTTTCTATAAAGTAATGAATTAATTTTGGAGAAAAAAGGCTTTAGTATGTTTTACTGTTTCCATTGTATTTCCAGCATGTGAAACAGGGAGAATAACGCTTCCCAGATCTTATTTGTACATTCCAAGATAGTTTGGGCAAATGGGCTGTGGAATTTTAGTATTTGTAGGAATCTAAGTCCTTGATGATCTGAGTAGCGCTGTCACTATGAAATGCATTCTGTTCTTATGTGTAATGTGCCGCTGCTACGTTTGTTTTTGTGGACATTGAAAGAAAAGGGAGGGGAGAGGTAAAGAGTGGATAAGAAAGCAGGGCAGATGTGCACACACTGAATAAATGACTTACAGTGCTGTCTCATTGAGACTTTCTGTAATTCAGTATGTGTATTATGAGAGAATACTAAAAGTTCTATGGGATTTCTAGTAGACTGTCCTATCCCCTTTTGTTTTGTCGTGATTGTATAATCCTCATGTCTTTTGAAGCCTGAATCTCTGAATGAACATGCATTTTGGAAACAGCTTGTGAATTACTTTAATAAGATTTGGATTGAAATCTTCCTGACAGCTCTCAAGTTATGCTTAAGCAAGAGAAATACAGACTACTAAATAACTATAAACGAAGGAGAGCTAAAATAGCAAAGCTAAGAGGAAGCAGTGTTTTGCTAGTGTAAGTGGGTATAACTCTCCTAAAATGTCTTAAACTTACGTGTGGTGTGTAACTTGTAAAATGGCTTAAGAGATGTGTTGTATCTACAGTTTGTGTACTCCGAGAAAATTTCAACATCAGTGGTGCAGTAAAGACTCTGGAAAATAATGTTTAAAAGGAGTTGGAAACAGTTTTCCTTGTCCTTTTTATTTTTTTATTAAAAATAGTAAATGGTAACAGTGTTGCTTCCTCATTGTTGTCTCACTTGTGGTATTCTGGTGCATATCTTGTTTTTGCTTAATGGTTACACTTGCTGACCAAGACTAATTTAAGACACAGATCCTGTTGTTATTTCATAAAGAAATATTTTTTGAATGTGACTCAATATCTGACAGGTGATGAACTGGCCAATTTTTAAAAAAGTCATGGTTTCTGTGTTTAGGTTTGGTTGTTTGGGAATGTTTGGTTTTGTTGGTTTTAATTTTTTGTGGGTGTGTGTGCTTAAATACCAAGTTTATTGTTTCTGAAGGCTATGCCAGGCTGGTTTCAGGGAAGCTTTAAGACTGTGGTGCTGCCAAAAGAAGCAGTCCTGTCTGGCTGCTATTTCAACTTCCTTGTGTTGGTCCAGATGTTTGTGGGGCTGTGTAATGAGCCATATCAGAAAAAATAATTTGTATTGAAAGTAATCTGGTATGTGCTTGCAGAAATACTTGTACTGGCATAAAGGAGATCATCAGGAATGTGAGGAAACACAGGATGGGAGAGATGGGACTGTTTCTTTAAACTAGCAGAGCCAACGTATTCTGATTTAAAGTACTGTGGAGCTTTAGCAGCTTCCTTTGTAAAATCCAGATTTTTTTTAACATAGAAGTGAATTGACTCAGAGTTAAGTGTCGCCTTTCTACTGCTTAGGGTGAAAAGCAAGGGGAAAAGAAGCTTGAGTTGCCAAAAGTGTGGGGGTTACAGCCCTGATGTTTCACACATAGACCATGTTCCTTGCAGTCGTGGTCCTCTTAAAAACACTGGTGTTAGTAATTTCCTCTTGTGTCACCTTGTTAGTGTGCACCTCTGGCAGGCTGTGTGTCTCTTCCTGAGACTAGTCCCGAGGAAAGCATCATTCCCTGAAGTGAGAGGGGCAGCTGCTCTTGCACAGCAACATATGATGCTCAGGACCTCTTTCTCCTTGGCCTTGAGTACTGGTGCCCTTATTTTGGCATAGTGTAGCCACTACAGATTGCATGAGAGTCTACAGGAAGAGGCTGTGGATAATTTCATTTGATACTGTTGAAACAGTATGTTGTAGTTGTGATGTTCTGAGGAATGCATAGTTTTTCTGTGAAAGTATGCAGCATATAGAAGCCTACTGTTAAAAAGGAGCTGTTTTCCTACATATTTCTATTACCATTGTAGTTTCTAAATAAGCTTTAGTAGAAGTTAATAAAATTTGAGATTCTTGCATATTATGAGAATATTTACACAGACCAAAAAACTCACCAGCAATCTAGTCTTTTCAATTTATTTTTTTTTTTTAATATAAACATTGTTTGGATAAGTTGGTGTTATCTGTCAAGGTTTTACCCATTACAATTAAATGGGAACAAAAGCTGCACATAATTGAGTGGTTTTTATTCAATAGTTAAGGTTTTCTATTCAAAGCTCTTTTTCTTTCAAATGTTGTTATATCCATACTCTTCTTTCAAAAAAAATATTTGGGAAAAGGGTAGCAAATATATTTTAGCTGCTGGGGTTGGATGTAGTAAATCCAATGTCTTGTTTAATTAAAAAAAAAAAAAGGTGGCTACGTTTTGCTTTGTCAGTTGTTAGGGAAAATTCCTAAAACTGTGTGGAACTGACTGCAGGAGTTTGAGTTATGTGGAACTGACTACCAGAGTATGAGATCTTGTCTTCTGCTTAGAGGTTTTAAAGGTGAAGTAACTATCTTGTTCTATATCCCCAGGATCTAAAGACTTGTCTAAATTAGGATTTGTATTTAAGCTAACACCAGTTAAAGTCAGAAATATATATTATTTAAGTATTAATTTAAAATCTTGGACTGAATTTGAAGTTTGTATTACTTTTTCTGTAGTAGACTTCTGAATGCCTTCGTTGACCTTTACTAGCTAATACCATCTCGCCTTTTGTCTAGACAAAATCTGAAATGGTCCGATACACTACTGTGCTCCTTCAGAGACTCATGCTTGCTGATGATGAGAAGTAAAAACTTAATCTTAATAAAGCATATATTTTGTAGAAATTGGAAATATCTTGGTCACTACTAGTGAATGGTAAGTGGACTTTTGAAAGCAGTGTTTATGAACACGAGTGCTACATTTCTTCTTTTAGATGAGGAAAATGTCTGTGAACAAGTGTGAAAGTGTCATTTTAGGAGCACTGGATGCCTTACGTCTTTGGATTTAATGAACAAATTGTTGAGATGTAGTTTCTGGGAGACCCATCCTGTCTGTATTGAACTGGGACAAATTTCTTATTTTCTTGCTTTAGTGGAATTGAAAAGTTTGTTTAATGTTGAGCCAAATTGCAAATGTACATAGTCTTAAGGCTTGAAGGTAGTTAAAAGCCGAGTCCAGTGAAAAATTCATACATTTGAGACTGGTTTTGTTATTACAATTATGCTTTGTTTCTGTATAACCTTAAAAGAGCTAGTTTTTGAAGTTGTTGGCTGTTTAGGTAAAATCATATATATTTGTCTTTTAAACAAGAAGATATAATAGAGTAATATTTCTATAAATATTCTAAGAGAAACCTAAAGATAAAGCTTTCACTGTTGGCCTAAGTCCTCATCCCAATTGATTTTCTTTCCAATATGGTAGCTCCAATGAAGTGCAGAGCTACCTGTTAGATTTACACTTGGTCTAACAGTTTGTCCTTTTTACTCCCCTCTTTCTGGCTGCATGCTTTTATTTACTCCATAATCCAGCTCAGTTTGGCACTTCATAAAGCCACTTTGATAACCTGTTTATGTGGAAGTGGTTTGTGGGTATCAAGGGCTTGGTCACTGAAGGACCTGAAGGATGTCAGGGCTGTTGTAAGGGGAAGATGATGTGTTACACAGCCCAGCAAGCAAGGCCGAAGGAGGAGTGGTCGCGTGTGCAAGGGGAGTAGGATTTGCCACTTGTCAGTGGCTGGCTCTTGACCTGCTCCAATCTTAGCATGCAGCTTCACTGCCCTTCCAAGAGTAAATTTGCTATTTCTTATGTGTTGTCTTTTCATGATAAACAGGTTAATGTTTGAACCCCTTTAAACAAAAGGTATTACCTCTCCTTTAGTGAACGTTCCATGCCTCTGACAGTCTCATTTTCTGTTCTATAGGAACCTGTATTGCTGAAAGCACAAATAGGGAGTTTTGAAATAATTGCTTCGTTGGCACCAACTAACAGTTTGAGGTAAGATGAATTCTGTTTTTAAATCTTCTGATTGAACCCAACTATTGAAAATTAAAACTGCTTTTGTTTTCCTAAAATTTATGATTGCGAGAAGAAGCTACAATATATAAAACTTTATAAATTAGTCTATCTCTTGTAAAGATCAACTATACTTGTCATACATAGAATGCAAAATGTATAAATGTTACTGTTGAGCACAGGGAAAATAATAATATATTTATTTAAAGCTGAGATTGGATTATGTTATAAACATTGTCCATCTGATGTTTGGTTTGAAAATTACTTGTAATAGAAAAAAAATCAGTTTTTCTATCACCCTTGGAAAATTGGCATGCATCATGTCTTACAACACTTTAAAAACTCTAAATTTATGTTGCCTGTGAGTATTGAGCTTAAAAGATTATAACCCATTTTCTGTGAGTTTAATTGAACACAATGAACTAGAAACCATCTTCTGAGTATAGGTTATGCAAATTTGCTTTTTAGTGGAATGAGCCCATAAAAAACAGCATTCAACATATTCTCCACCAAGGTAAATAGTTTTTTCTGAGTTACATGTAAAGCTAGTTTAGGTTAAAAAGTTTTGCTGGGTTAGTTTCAGGTGAGATTACACCTCTGGGGCCATGCAGAGTTGTGGGGAAAGTCATGTGGGGCAGGAGGAACCAGCTGATAGGGGAAAGGGTTGGTCTGCTTTTTTCTTTTGGGTTCTCTTAGATGTGTCTAAAATCTCTGAAATTTTATTAATTTAAAATTAAAATCTGACATTGTTTTTGTCTTTACATAATTGATGTATCACCCAGGTAACAAGACAGGTTATATAAAGTACCTTGTTGTGTTGAGCTTGTATTTTTAATTCAGTAATTTTAGATTTTAAAGCCTGTTTGCAACACAAAAGCTATATGTTTGTTTCTTTCCATTTCTGTTTTAATTATTATTAAACAGTGATGATTATTTGGCATTCAAAGGCCTGAAAATATGTAGTTACTTGTTAATAGTTTATATTCAGATTGTCTAATGTGACCCTTCTTTTTTTTTTTTTTTTAAAGCTGGGCAATTTCAAAAGAAAATGGTAATGGGTCAAAGTTTTTATTAATTAAATTGGGGCTTTTTAGCCACTGATCTGAACAGAAAAAGAAAAGGTGTGTATTTTTTTATGGTTAGCATTAATTCTAAATATTTACTGTGACTGTATGTAAGAAGAAATGATAGTTTATTATTTATTTCCTTTTAGGTCTCATGGCTTGATAATCAGTTATAGTTTTCATAGCTTACTTTGTGCTGAAGCACATTGAATTTTGTTGCAAGCCATATTATTTAACTAGTTGTTAAAATCTTTAAGTTGGCCATGCATTTTACTTACAGATTAAAAAGCAAAGTTAACCTAAAAAGATGCATCTTGACTAGTGGAAAATCGGATTAGAGCGATTAGCTTTAGTACATGTGGTTAAAGAGAAATAATACCTGTGGCTCAAACTTAATAACTGCTGGACAGAATACTTCAGGGCTTTTTCTTTCCTTATGTAAAAGGTACATTGTAGTGGACTTTAAACTCCTTCCAGAGAAGGAATAGTGCATTGGAAATGCAAGGAAACTACAAACTGCACAATAGCAAGACTTATGTTTAACTTACATCAGAATGTCCAGAGTTATGTTCTTCGTGTCTTAATTTGCAGAAATGGTTTGGGTTTTTTTCTGTTTCTTCTTCTCTTCTACAGGATCAGCTTGGAGTTAAATCTGGAAAACCTTTTACTGTTATACTTTATCCTTTCAGACAAAGTGTGTGCACTGCAGTAATGTTAAGTTCTTTAAAATGTGGTTGAGCTTTTAATTTACTGATAAATAACTCATACTGTCTCCAAAGTCCTTTCATTTAGCAAATGCTATACTTCTTTCTAATACTGTCATTTTATTATATACAAATTTTGTTCATTTGTATCATTTATATCATTTAGATGGACTCTAAATAGTTGCTTTCATTTTTTCCCCCTGCCCTCATTGCTTTTCCTTTTGGGAAGGAGTATATCTACTGAGAAAAATGGGTCGATCTAACTCTAGATCACATTCTTCAAGATCAAAGTCCAGATCTCAGTCCAGCTCTAGGTCAAGATCCAGATCACATTCAAGGAAAAAGAGATACAGGTAAGTTGATGTCATGCTGCATGAAAAGGTAGTTGGATATATTAGGTTTTGTCTCGAAAATATTTTTCAGTTGCATGATGCTGTGGCAAAAATGAGCCTGGGATCTTATTTCATTTTAGGCAGTAGGCAAGCTATGCTTTGAATGTAATTTTCGTTACTTTGTTTAATAATCGGGGTTTTTTTTCCATTTTCATGTATCTCAAGATAATTTCAGAATGCGAATGGTTCTTCGTGATTTGTGGCCCTTTTGATTCTTCTCTTCCCCTTCATAAGATCTTTTCTTTGTCCAGTCTCTTTCTCTGTAATTTGTTCTGTATTTCTCATTCCACTTTTCATATCTGAAGTAACTTATGGCTTCAGTAGATAAACTTTGCTGTACCTTGTCTTCTCAGTTGCCTCCAGCCTTTTGCTCATCTTTCTTACTAGTGGACTTTACCATCTCCCGTAAAAGAAGTGGGTCAGTTGAATGTTTACTGCCTCATCAGCTGCTATCCACAGGCTGGCATATGAAATTGGGGGTCATGTAACTTCATGTTCCAGGCTGTGAACCAAGGTGGCTGAGAGACTGAATGCCATGTTCCAGAGTGGTGATAATCTCTAATAAAATGGCAGGGCAGGCCACTGGGGCTGGTAACGTCTTAGTCATGTGATGCAGAGTTTCACAGTCCTTAGAAGTATAAACATGCTTATTACAGTAAATATATTATGGAAATAATAAATAGAGATTGTAGAAGTTACTGTAAGACCGTTAGTCCACATCCTTTAGCATTCTGACTGCATTCGAGAAATCTGGCATTTAGAGTCAAGGCACTTCTTTCTTTTTGGTTTTCCAATTGTCAGATTTTAATGTTTCCTTTTTAATTTTAGTTCTAGGTCTCGGTCAAGGACGTATTCACGATCTCGCAGCAGGGATCGTGTTTATTCTAGAGATTATCGCAGAGATTACAGAAATAATAGAGGAATGAGACGTCCCTATGGTTACAGAGGAAGAGGTAGAGGGTATTATCAAGGAGGAGGTGGTAGATACCATCGTGGAGGTTATAGGCCTGTCTGGAACCGAAGACACTCCAGAAGCCCTAGACGTGGCCGTTCACGTTCCAGAAGTCCAAAACGAAGGTCTGTGTCTTCCCAGAGGTCCCGGAGCAGATCTCGTCGATCTTACAGATCTTCCAGGTCCCCGAGGTCCTCTTCATCTCGTTCTTCATCCCCATACAGCAAATCACCTGTCTCTTCCAAAAGACGTGCGTCTCTGGAAAAGCAGGCAAAGAAAACTGAAGGGGCTCCTTTGCAAGATAGCCCCTTGAAAAATAAATCACAAGATGAACAGAAAGATACATTTGAACATGACCCATCAGAGTCTCTTGACGATTTTAACAAATCGGCAGCAGCTTCTGGCGACATTTGGCCTGGCCTTTCAGCGTACGATAACAGTCCAAGGTCACCCCATAGTCCTTCTATTGCCACCCCACCTAGTCAGAGTTCATCTTGCTCTGATGCCCCTTTGCTTAGCACAGCCCACTCAGCAAAGGACACACCTCAACATTCCCATTCCATTCAGCATAGTCCTGAGAGGTCTGGCTCTGGTTCTCTTGGAAATGGTTCTAGCCGTTATAGCCCTTCTCAGAATAGCCCATTGCATCATATCCCTTCGAGGAGAAGCCCTGCAAAGACAATCCCATCACAGAGTGCCCCCCGTGAGGAAGCTCGAGTGCGGTCATTTTATCCTGAGGGTGGCGAACAGGAAGCTGCAAAAGGTGGAAAGTTTATGAAAAGGTAAGAATTAAATAATAAGCCTAACGTTGCCTCTTAAAAAGTTAGAATTTTGTCAAGATCGTCACTATACATTGAAAAAGGCGATTTGGAACACTAGTACTATTAGTCTGGTTGGAACTGAGCTTGAAACGTGTGTGTACTAAGATGCTTCAGGATCTTGGCTGCTGGCTAGTGAAGATAGGGATATGTATCCTTGAGGAAAAATGGGTTTGTGCTTTTCCTTCAAGGTGTATTTTCTTGTACTCAATTTTTTACTGTTAAGAAAAATCTTAATTGGAATGGTGCATCAGACTTGCTTGTTTGACAGTGAATTCTCTTCAGGTATTTCAAAATTTTAATGGTTGATATAGTTCGAAATGCAGATCTTCTGGAACTCAAAAAATGCTGATGTTTTGCAATGGTTTCTTTATGTTAACATAAACAGCACTGATTGCTAATTGTGTGGTGCAATATGACAGCTTTGTCTTGACATGCATTACTTATCAGAGAGAGTTGGTCTTGGTATTCTTGGAACATAATTCTGTTGATGTGAAGGAACTTCAGTGACTGTAAAATTCTTCAATTAGTTCTTGAAATGTTTGATATAGTAGTAATTTTTGAAAGTTGTAAAAATCTTACTGATATTAGACTGTTCCTTTCTAATGTGACTAGTACTTCAGTGGATTTCTTATAAAATGTGTTACAGAGAGAAGTTGTGACTATGCTATATAGGCTTGACTGTAGGCTTTTAAAAGAATTTGTCCAGTCAGTGATTTATTATGTAAAAAAATTACTGCTTAGAAGATCAAAAATATGACTTCCCTTGGATTAGGTGTATTGGAGTTGGTGAATGTATTAGGTGGAATTTTCACCTGTGTGAAAATAGTGTATAGATAAGGCAGTGTGTGAAACAACTGGTAAGTGTGGTTCTGTATTTAGGAGAGCTGCCTTCTAAAGGTTCCCTGCTAAGCCTGTTTCAGATTCTGGAATTATGTAATTCCAGTAATATGCAGGATCTTGAAAATTGTTCACGTTTTTGTGGTACTCCTTTAACTTTTTCGGTAAAAGAAATACAAAAATGAATTGTAGTCTGAATTCTCAAACTTCATGTGAATTTGATGGAAAAAATGAGTAGTATAAGAAAATGTGAAAATGGGCACTGATTAAGAAAAAAGCCACTAGCTTTCTTATAAACTATAGCAGAAAATTTCTAGGTAGTCTCCTCAGATGACTCCAGTAGTGCCTAAAGGACAGTGGATACAGTGTTAATGGTGTGCGGAGCATTGCATGCTACAGTTAATTGCTCAGAGGAATGTATTTTCATCATCATCTTGGTGTGGGATTGACACGAAAGAGGAATGCAAGTGAACTGGAATGAATGCAATCCAGAGTTACGAGTCTCTTCTTTGCTATCCACAGGTACACAGATGAAGAGTCTAGAGTATACCTGCTTGATAGGGGTAATACCAGGGAGAAGGAGGCCCAGAAGGAGAGAGGATCAGAAAAAGGGAGGACAGAGGGAGAAAGGGAATGGGAGGAACAGGAAACTTTAGATTTTTTCATTGATAAAGAGACTGGGAAAGAAAAGTTTAATGACTCTGAAGGGGAGGACACAGAGGAGACAGAGGATTACAGACAGTTCAGAAAGTCTGTCCTGGCAGATCAGGGTAAAAATTTTCCTACTGCATCTCACCGGAATGCTGAGGAGGAAGGAACCAAATACAAATCTAAAATATCAATCAAGGGCAATAGAGAGAGCGATGGATTTAGAGATGAGAAAAGTTATAAGCTTAAAGAGACTGGCTATGTAGTGGAAAGGCCTAGTGCAACAAAAGATAAGCACAAGGAAGAAGACAAGAGTTCTGAGAGGCTAATGATGAAGAAAGAAACTCAGTCACCTGAGCAGGTAAAGTCTGAAAAGCTCAAAGAACTCTTTGATTACAGTCCCCCTCTACACAAGAATCTGGATGCGAGAGAAAAATCCACCTTCAGAGAGGAGAGCCCACTTAGGATCAAAATGATAGCCAGTGACTCCCATCGTCCTGAAGTTAAACTCAAAATGGCACCAGTACCTCTTGATGATTCCAATAGGTAAATTATTCCACTTTACAGTGTGGTTCTCCATTTGTCTGCAGTATTGTTCATCTTTATTTAAACTATTGGTTTCTTTTTGTGTGTCTCTTTTCTGTTGTTGATGCATTTTAGACCTGCTTCCTTGACTAAAGACAGGCTGCTTGCTAGCACACTTGTTCATTCCATCAAGAAGGAGCAAGAGTTCCGATCCATCTTTGACCACATTAAGTTGCCACAGGCCAGCAAAAGCACGTCAGAGTCATTTATTCAGCACATTGTGTCCTTGGTTCATCATGTCAAAGGTATGTCGTTAGTTTATCGTATGGGGTACATGGCTGACCACTTCGTTTAAGCCTATTTGCTCTTTCTAGTATGGGAGGATTTCAGCCCTCTTTTAATGTTGGTTTAGCCAGACTTTCTTCCTTTTAAGGTATCCATAAAAACAATTAGAAAAATAATAGCCACAGACACTAGTATCAAAAAAAACGCAAGCAGTGTAGAGTATAGTAGCAATTATACTATGTTTCTGGATAAATTTTTGAATGTAGGTAGCATATAAAGTTTTCTAGTGTAGTTTAAACATACTACATTAGTCAATTTTTTCTTACTTAGTTTTATTTTAGTGACTAATACACAATTTATATTAAGTGGTGCACTGTGGGTTGACAGATGTCTTTAGTACTGTAAATACAATGCCATTGCTTTTGGAGCACCATAGAGGTCATTTCCAGGTTCTTATTAGAAGGGGGTCTTTCTCTTAGTAAGATTTAGAAAAAAATGTGTTCTAAATGGTGCTAAAATCCATGGTGATATTTCATTTTATTCCTATTTGACAGCATTGTCGGGAATTTCACTTAAAAGAAATTTGGCAGTGGCTAAATAAACCTCTGTTACATGAGTTACTCACTAATCAATTTCTGTTTTAACAGTAGTGGCTGCTTAATATGAACACCAAAAAAACCCCTCAACAAACCAATCAGAACAACGAAAGTCCCCCCCAAAAAACACTGAAACCCAAACCTAGACCACCAACGTAGATATATTTCATTTAGGTCATATATCCTCTTAAGTTTTTTTGATGGGAAAATAGATAATTCCTAAAATCCAGTGAGGATATCTAGAGAGTTCTTCAAATGCTTTTTTATATAGCAGTTGCTTTATTTCACTGGGTTGTTGTCTTGTTTTTGTGTTAAATATAACTGAGATAATATGGAGCTAGTGAAAGTAATTTTACCACATCATCATACTAAGGGGTAATGTGGAAATGCTTAGTTAGGTGGCCAGTTTCAGTGAATCTATGTCCAGGCATTGTTTTTAAGATGTGTTAGATTTTAAAATTGCTAAGATTTATGTGCTGGAAATATGCACTGACGTTAAAAATACTTGGTTGGCATAATTCAGATTACTAAAGGCAAATGATTTCCTGCATTTTGAATTACTTATAAAGAAGAAGGTAATAGTCAACAATAATGGATTATGGTAATGTATTAGATAAAAAACCAATATTGGGACACCTGTTTAGAGTATAATGATTTGTTGTGAAAGTATCTTATTTTATTGCTATGTGAAGAAATTTAAGGCTCAGTCCAGTGAGAGCTTCTGTTAAGTTTTTGCTTATACGGTGCATATGTAGCTGTAGGTGAAAATACTACTTCTGAAACTCTCACATGTTGATCACAGAATAGAATTTTTCTATAAACTTTTGCGTGTTAAATATCTGGTAAATATAACAGCTTAACAGCCTATATAATCAAGTTGTTAGAATATGTACAGTTATGGTTGCTTTTGAAAGCAGAACATCTCTTTAAGTTTCATATTTACTATGGTCTGTGATCAGATTTTTAGTAACACTTTTAACAAACTGAAGTTATGTTCATTATTGGTGTGATGCAACCAGTCTGAACAGCTCTTTATTGATGTAGAGCTGAAAATGCCCAGTGATGTTTTCTTTTTCATTGTAACTAGGTCCTGGAATGTGTTTTGAAATGGCAAAATCCATGTTACAAAACTAAAATAGCTGTTGAAAGATACAGATGCCAAACAGGCAAAGTTGAACCTTCTGTCTTCCTGGCAAAAATGGCATAAAAACAGAGTTGCTAGCTCAAATTCCTGTGTTTGATGGAATTATGATTGAGGCACTACCCTTGTAGTGGCCGTTTCAAGTTTTAATGGTTGGTTATGAGACAAATACTGGATGCCGGGCGGTAAGTTGATACAGATGTATGTTGACCTGTTAAGCAGATAGCTTGCTTCATATGTAACATTTCATAGCTCATGACTTTATGTATTTCTATATTGCATTTAAACACATTTGTTGAGCTGGTTTGAAAACTGAGTTTTGCTGTGGCTAATTTAACTGTCTTTGAAGGAAGGAGAAAATTTGTCAGAGAAGTTGTCAAGTTTGCCAAGATGCCAGATCCTTAAATGATTTTACCTATGTATAGGTGTATTAATTGTCTTGGATTGTTTATCATCACAACTTCCAATCAAGAAATTGTATCCCTTTAAGAAAAGACTTGTCAGGTCTTTCATGTAGTTATTGAAGCATACATTACTTAAATGTTTTCACCTACTCTTATTTTAAGTTAAAGATGAGATGAATGGTAAACTGTACTTACTGCAAGTATTCATGACTCTCTAAGTAACTTCACTTTCTCTTGTGGGCAAAGTATAAAGTAACTGTTTAAGAAATTGCTCTTTCTCTTTCATTAGAGGAAAATGTTGTTAAAAATGAGCAAGTCCAATCAGTAAATGATGCTTGAATTAGATGTAATACAGTCATGGCATAGTAGACTTGCAGTGATGCTGTGCACTTACCTTTGTTTGGGTTACAGTGTGGAAAAATAGGGAAGCTGCCACATTTGCTTGTCCTGATAAATTTATAGGAAATACTGTTTACTGCCTGTTACTTGCCTTTGTCAGGAGTAAAATACCTGTCAGTTGAATTAAACTAATGAAACAGTGTTTTTTTTCTATTATAACCAACAGAGCAATACTTCAAGTCAGCTGGAATGACCCTAAATGAGAGGTTCACTGCGTATCAAAAAGCCACTGAAGAACACAGCACCCGACAAAAGAGCCCAGAAATACATAGGTATATATGTTAACTACATATGCAGATGTTTTTTGTTTCAAATAACGTCTGCTAATATTTCTTTTGAGAATCCAAAATATTTTTTCTAATCTGTATGGGGTAATTTGTGTAATTACAAAATACCAAAAAAAGCCCTTTTGTAAAAGAGAACTCATCTGAGTTGAGTCTGGCTTCATCTGTGGTTGTGTAGCAGATGTCTTCTCTACCTCTGTATCTCATTTGGGATATATTTACTTTTCTCACATGCAGTGCTCAAATATTGAGGGGCATATGTCTTGAAGATGAAAAGAAGCCCTGTACATGCATCTTTCTTCTTCAGTGTGAAATGTTCCATCTCATACTACTTTAGTTTTTGTGTGTGTTAATTTACAGCAGTTTTTTGAAAAATCTGAGAACCCAAAAGGTAAGAAGGTAGGCATGCAAATGTAGTGTCTGATCATGTGCTATAATTTTATGATGCAGTGTACTATATTTGTGTTGCATGTGAGGATATGGTGTCCAACTCTACAAGTTTTCTTAACTGTTAAGTATTTTTGACTTCACAGCTAACTTATAATGCTGATGATTTCTTGGAGGGGGTGGGTTTTCAGCTGGTTACATATACTGATCCTTTTGAAATAAATCATTAAACATTTTTTTGTATCTTCGAAGCTGTACTTAAAATGTGAAACATCAGTCTGCCTATATTTGTGTTTTTAGCATACTTTACACAGAACAGAACCAAGGTTTTCAATTTTTAGTCTGCTCCTGTATTTTGATGGTGGGGCTTTATATGAAAAAGTTTGTCTACTGCAAAAATGTCTTCTCAGTTTTCTGTTGAAAAGAAGTGTTTGAGGCCATTAACAGTCACATATGTATATGGCAAGACACTGCTTTTATTTTACATTTAGGAGGATTGACATCTCTCCAAGTACCCTGAGGAAGCATACTCGTTTAGCAGGTGAAGAGAGAGTCTTTAAAGAAGAAAGTCAAAAAGTAGGTTCTAAGTAAATGTCCTACCTGTGCTTCTAAACTTAATTTATTGTTTCCTTTTAAATCTGAATTTCATCTCTGTTTGTGTATAAAATAAAAAAGTCATTTATATTTATAGTACCTGGAGTACTTTTATTTAGAATTTTTTTTTCCTTTGAATAAAACATATTATCTAGAAGCTCATTTATGTAGCACGATTTTGCTGGATTGATAATGTGGCATATAAGGTCAGGTCTTCTCCCATGCTTCCTTTCTTCTTGCATGTGTCTTGACTGCTGCCCAAGGACAAAGAACAGGTGTTGGGGCAGGGGGAAGTACCCACATGGTCAATGAGTAGTGTGGTTGAATTGCAAAGATGCTTGTACTCTGCTTAAAAACAATTCACCAGAAGAAATGAATACTTAAATATCTCCCCAAACCATGCATTATGGTGTGTATGCCCCAAAAACTAGATATATCCCATTGCCTTGATGGGAATGCTTGTTTGAAACTGAAATTCTTAGCTGTTCTTTTTTTTAGATGTAGCCATTGCATGTAAAGGGCAAAGTCAATTTGTGTGCTGAAGTTTGTTGAGAAATGGGTAAATTTTATCTTTTTTTTTTTTTTTTTAATTGATACCCAACTTCCCTTGTCACTGAGATTCTCTTCTGGACGTTTTATTTCAAAATTTTGTTCCAAAATATATATTTGTTTACAGGGAGATAAAAAATTAAGGTGTGATTCAGCTGATCTTCGTCATGACATTGACCGACGTAGAAAAGAACGAAGTAAAGAGCGAGGAGACTCAAAGGGTTCCAGGGAATCCAGTGGGTCAAGAAAGCAGGAGAAAACTCCAAAAGATTACAAGGATTACAAATCTTACAAAGATGACAGGTAAATATTTGAAGTCCTTATATAGAAATATACCTTCTAATTAGCCTTTTGTAATTGTAAGCTTAATTGCTTTCAATTTTCAATGTATAATGGAACATTTAATTTTAAACAATTAAAATTATTTGTTTTACAGCAAATATGTATTATCTCTCTTTTACACGGCTTATGGTGGATGAGGACAAAAACTTTGGAATAGCAAGCTAACACACTGAAAAAAAAAATGACAAATTAATCTGTCCTATTATCCAGGCTACATCAGGAGGTTGGACTTCAATGCAGTACATTTCTATAAACAGTTTGTGTAAGAACTTTGGTTCGTTATGCTTGATTCCGCACTTTTTCAACTCATAACACCCAGAGTATGAGAATTTTACTGATACTTAGGTTTTAACATGGGTGAGAAGGGGAATTTTTATTTTTGTCTAAAGCCAGTGGGCTGTTTTAAGAAAAAAACATTAACATATCTCAGTGGATACTGTGTAGAAGTGGTAAGAGTTACTTCAGGTATGACCTTTCTTTGAATAGAATATTAAAGTCTTGTAAATTGGGTCAAATTAATGCCACTATGGGGTTACTAAGAGTCTTGCTGTAGGAATTTTTTTTCCCCGCTTTGTACTGTATATAGAATGAATTTTTACTTACGCTTCCTGATTCCCATTTACTTTCTGACTTCGGTATCCACATTTTCTTCCACTGGCTAATTCCCTACAGCCATCTACGTAGGGAAGCCCATACTATATCTTCTCAACAGTGTGCAAACTGAACTATGTAAAGTTTCTGTAAAACTTTGCCTTGAGGGCTTTTTTCCCTTTAACTTCTGTTTTTCTGCCTCAGAAGAAAGGCAGATCTTAAAAGTAACAGAATCTCTTCATGGTGTCAGAATCTAGAAAAACTATTTTGCAGTTTGCAGACTGCTGCTTTCCAACTCACTAGCAATAATAAACGTTTAATGCACTTAAATGTGTAAGAGGAGGCTGGAAAGTGGAACTATACTTCGCCTTAATATCTCAAATATGTAACACGTGTGACTTTATAACCAGAAGGGGGCTAGTTTCTCATAAAATATAGAGACATGGTTTAGTATAGCATGTTACAGACTATCTAGTACGTTTAAAATAGCACATAGTATATTTTTTTATTTTTCAGTAAACAAAAAAGAGATCAAGACCGTGCTAGGTCCTCCCCATCTTCCTCCCCATCTTCTTCTTCATCCAGTTCTCGAGAAGAAAAAGATTGCAAGAAGGAAAGAGAAGAAGAGTTCAAAACCCACCATGAACAGAAAGAATACTCTGGTTTTGCAGGAGTCAACAGGCCAAGAGGCACCTTTGTAAGTTTTTCTCTTATTCTTTCCTCAAATTATGGAAACTTCACAACAGATAAATAAGGGAGTGTCTCACTGTTTAATATTAGACTAGACTTACTCCTAAGTTCTTTTATGTGACATACCAAAGCTAGTCTTTTTTTCTGGTCTTTTTTTTTCCCAGCAGTGCCTAATAGCAGTTAAATCTTTGTAAATTTGCCATTAGAGGTCCTAGCATGAGGCTGGGAAAAAGGATTTCTTGATTATTCCTTGCTCTTGTGTAATTATGTTATTTCCTAACAGGATCTGAAAATTTAGTGTTCTGTAAAGTTTAAATCTTGTGTTCTATTACCTCTTAACTCCCTGCAGCTGCTGTTTTTCCCCTGTCACTTTTTTGGTTTTACCCTCCTTTGTGTGTGATGCCTGCAACTTGTCAAATAGATAATGGCACATAATTGCACCTCAACCTTGAAACAGCTGTATTGAGGAGATGGTATACTTGTTATTTTGTGTTTCTTTGGCTGGGACTAGCCACAGTGAGCATGAACGTTCATTGATTTACCTCTGGAATGTGTTTAAACATTGTGATTTGGAAAGTGACACACTGACCATTATAGTCTTCAGAAAAATCTTAAACTTGAAGATTCCATGTTAATGTAATTATTTAAATGGGAAATATAGGAGCATTAGAAAAGACTAGTAATCAATAAAGGAGGCCTTGAAAAAGATAAGGAGTGCTTAAAAAAAACCCCAAACAACCCTAAACAAAACATAAAACCAGCCTGAGCCAGACACCCACCCCCAACAACAGAGCAAAAGAAACCCTCAAACCAAAATGAATCACAGAAAAAAGTGCAAGTTCCATGTGGTTGGGGAAGAACTGTCAAATAGTCTTACATAATAGGTAGGAGAAATTTCATACTTAACAATAATTCCTTCATGTAGCTTGTAATTAAGACTAAATAATGCTAAAATGCATTGTTTAGTATAAATGTACATTGAATTGTTTGTACTAGTGTACAAAATAAGTTTTGAATTACATATGAGGGTGTTTGAAATGCTTGTGGCATATGCCAACACTTAAGGTTTGAATCATCCATCTAAAAACCTGTAGCTGCTTAGAAGAAAATTCAGAGTTCTAAATTTCTAACACTAAAAGTGCATCATTTCCTCCTTTCTTCTTATTTTTATATAGTTATGCTAAGTAACATCTCTCTGGCATAAATATGTAAGTCCTTGGATGGTGTAGGCATCAGTTATGACTATCAGCACGATTTCCAGCTGTATAAGCTAACGGCACAAACAAAGCAGAAATTAGCAAAAACAGAGCTTAAAACTCCATCTCCTCTCTAAAAGATTTAGTGGAAGAAGACTCATTGGTTGAAGGCTTCCTGCTTTATAAAACCAGATTGTACGTATTGTGAAAGAGATGCTATTTTATATGAAATTCAGGTAGATGTGAATTGGGAATTTAATAGACTTCTACTCATTTAATTACTAGTGACTGCCAGTTCTGACTATGCCGTAGTAGCTGGTTAATGTTCCGTATGCGTGGTCATACACAGGCTTTTTTAACAAATCCTCTGAACAGGTGAATCTAAGTAGGCTAACCTCTTGACTCAGATCTCCTCTTTAGGGATACAGCTTGGCAAGTACTGAAAAATACAGACCAGCTAGTGTAGGACTATGTTTGTAAATGCAGGCTAATAGTGGCTGCATTCTAGTAAATACTGCTTTGCTTCTGGAGTAAATAGGATGCTTTGGTTGTGAAGCCTTAGAGAACATAACATCTCCCCTCTCCAACCAGTTAATATAAGCTAAGTTGTCAACTTCATGTTAAATCAGCAACGGTTTTTCACTAACTTTTGCTGATATACGATTCTGTTTAATTCTATACATCTCACACATAATCATCGTGAATAGTTTTCAAATATGAGCAGAAATAAGGTTAAGTAGAATTGTTCAGTGACAGGGTCATTAGTATCCAGCTCCAGAAGAAATTTGTGTGTAAAAGTTCTGTTTTAATGGAGTTTTATACAGAGATTGTACTCTCTATTTTTTGTAGTAAGCAAGCACATAAAGATAACACCATAGCAGATTTCATCTCCTGTAGCTCTTTACCTGAAAGAGATGATATGGTAGGGGGAGGTATTTATACATTGATGAGGAAAATTCTAGATGTTTTTCTTTAAGGGAATCTGATCGTAGGACCTAATACCAGGAAATGTTGATAATTTTTTTTCTTTTTTAATCCTGTCATAATTTTGTCTCTATATCCTTCTCCCAACCCCCAGATCCACCAGGATACTGTTTGTTGTGCCCTAGTTTCGTAAAGCTGTTGGAAATAAAGAAAGCATGTAGTATTTCCTCTCCTGTACAGTTAGTCTCTTGCTTTACAAATTACTCTCCATGCAATTATTTTTGGGTTTTGCCTACAGGGTATTGAATAGATCTTATGAGCTTTTTACTGATTGTTTTTCAGTCTGTTTGATTTCAGGGTAGTTTTAAAACTGTCCAGCATAAATTCTGTATTAGAAGTATTGGAGCTTTGGGGAATTAAGTGTTCATAATACTTCTCTTTTGAGTTAGTTAATCATATAAATTTTTTTGTCTGTGTTTATGAAACATACTTATTTCTAACAAATTAAATTAGTTTCCAAGTTATGTTTTTGTACTGTTACTCCAAAGATGCAGTTTTGTGCAACAGGCTGTTCATGGAAATTGTGTTCTGTAGCAACGGCAAGTTTTAGTGTTTTTATCTTCCCAGCCTAACCTTTCTTATCCCTTTGGATGAAGGATATAAAATCATTTAATGTTTTCTGCAAGCTAAGTATTTACATGGTAAGGGAAGTATATATATTACTTCTTAGTGTATTCTGATTCAAAGGGTTTTTTGCTGTGAGATTTTTTAGCCTAATGTTTAAAAATACTGTTAATACATTATAGAGAATATTTTAAGACACTCTTTTTTACTTCAAGCATTGCTACTCTGTACAGTACATACTGTTGAATTTTTTTGAGTAAATAATTTACTCATTTGTAATTTAATTTGGCCTAAAGTACATTTTTGAGTCTCTCTTAAAAATGTGTGAGTAACACAGAGTGGATATACTGCTTTAAAAACTGTATTGTTAGTATGTATTCTAGAATCACTTCCTCATAACTGATACGATTGACTCCATAAATGACCTCTACCTTCTCCTTGACAGTTTTCTCCCTGTTCCAGTCTAGTTTTCTTATTTGTTTTTTGTCTGTGAACAGCTTCAGAAGCTATTCTGACCTTTTGTTGCAACACAAAAACTGCAACACAAAAACTGCTGGTTTAACAGCAGTCAAAGGAAGTTTCTTTTTGGTGGTCATGGGTAAACTTATGCCAAATTCAAATGTGTTTCAATTAAGCTTAATAGAATCATTATTTCAAAGTGAATGCTTGAATATATTACTTAAGGTAATATGTGAATTTGAAAATGGTTTTACACTTGCAGATACTGTAATTAAGCACAGAAAGAGTATTTTCAGTAACAGAGAACTTGAACTCTTTGTGGTTTTATGTAAATGGATTAAATGACATCTTGGTTAATCAGTTTCGAATTAGGGGCAGAGGAAGAGCCAGAGGAGTCTTTGCTGGAACAAATACTGGTCCCAGCAACTCAAATACTACTTTTCAGAAGAGACCGAAGGAAGAGGAATGGGATCCTGAATATACCCCAAAAAGCAAGAAATACTTCTTGGTGGGTGTGGAGAACTCAATGTCTTATGCATGCTTTTGTTTTTTCAAACTTTCTACAAGTGTAGAAGTAGCATGCATGTGTGGACAGGGACTTCAGTGACCATGAGAATATCAAGGTGGTTGTAGTGTCTAGTTTTGCTTCTCTTGCATCTTTCTGCAGCAGGCTGGCAGTAACTGAGGCCTGACACAGAATTTATCTCCAAAACTTTCATCAGGAGTGGGGAAGAAGGCAGGCTTAGACAAAAATTATTAAAACTAAACTTTAAACCGAAAAGATTTGTGCTGTGTTTTCCTGGATTTATGTCTTTATGACATTTGAGCTTTGTCTTAGATTCATCTGGAATCTAAGATGTCTGACTAAGAAGTCTGCAGAAGTGGAAAATCAGGAAAAGCTGACAGTATTTGTGGATGTATGTAGGCTGACTTTGTTATGAGCAGTTTTCTGCTCTTAGTTGAGTAGTGTGATAGTCATAAGAAAATCACAATAGTTTTGATGCCTTTTTCCCATCTGGATTATGAAAGGAGGACTGTTGATGTAACCACTCTTAAGTAGTGTAGTATACTGAAAAGGTGGCCTCTACTCCAGTTGATTTCCTTAACAGTGCAAACTTTGAAGTATATTGTTTCACCACTGAAAAATAATAAGTAATGAGGATTAGACCTTCTCCTATAGCATTATAGCTTGCCACAAACATGTTAACAGGTAACTAAGAAATAATGCAATCCTGGTTTGGATGATTGTACAAGGAGTTTTCTGTCTTCCTACACATAAATAAACTTTCCTGATCTGTAAACATAGAGATACGATAATCTATTAAGAAATGCTACAATACTAGAACAGTTAATTGTAGCTATTACACTTGAATTCATTAAAAATGTTTTTAGACAAAAACTACACCCTTTAGCTACTTTTATATAGTTATTAAACTGCTTTATATGGGTGTGATATGTTTAGTAGTTCAGATTTCTTTCCAAATCACAAGTAAAAAAACATATGTTGAAGCAAGTGTACCTCACCATTCTAAATGTAAACCTTTTTTTATATTAAATAATTGTCTGTAGCTTTTATGCAGTGCATGGAATGATTGTCAGAACTTAACAAACAATATAAGGTTGTATTTGGTAGCAAGACAGCAAAGTTTGGCTTATTAACCAACTCAACTGTTGTTTGTTAATGTCAGATTTAAACAGTTTAAGCTTCATTTGCCCTGTGTTGTGCTGGGGAAGCGGGTTTTCTGAAAACTGCCTTCAGTTATTTTTCCTTATTAAGTATAAAGAACTGAAATAAAAATTATTTTTAAAAAATCCTAGTACATTCCTGGAGCTTCTTCTTTTTAAAGTAACAATTTTTTCCCCTCAAAACTAGTAGTTCTTTATTCTGACTGAAGTGACAGATAAGTGACAGATAAGCTATTTGTTACAACATTTAGTAGACCCAGAGCTAATAAGAGCTCTTGAAACAATGTTGTGGTTTTAATTACAGCATCATGAATTGTAAGAATATAGTTCATAGTGGATTCTATAAACGATGATCTGAAGAGAACTTTTTAACATTTACTTTGTTTTATACATTTGCTATAGAGTGCTGACATTAAGGGGTACATTTAAGAGGTGTTCTAACCTTACTTTTTGTCTGGCATTATTGTAGCACGATGACAGAGATGATGGTGTGGATTATTGGGCCAAAAGAGGAAGAGGCCGTGGTACTTTCCAGCGTGGCAGAGGGCGTTTTAACTTCAAAAAGTCAGGTAGCAGTCCGAAGTGGACACATGACAAATATCAAGGGGATGGCATTGTGGAAGACGAAGAAGAAACGATTGAGAATAATGAAGAAAAGGACAGACGCAAAGAGGAAAAGGTAAATGGTTCAGTGGGTTGCAGATTAGACAGTTTGTCTTGTAAGTCATTGGGTGCGAGTGGGGATCGCTTTAAAAGGTTTTGGACTTTGGTTATTAACAGTTTACAACAAGACTTTTCTTTCTTTCCACAGGAATAACCCTGGAAGAAAGTTGTAGCTGAAAGAGCAGCTGTTGCACCACCCTCACAACATTTTTAATATGTTTTTTTGTTGTCAAATGAATGTAAGCATTTTACTTAAATTTTACTGTTGGAAAGTAGTTTAGGGGGATTGTTTTTGTTTTAAGCCTTTAGAAAAAAATCATGATACAGTAAACTATGTTAATGATCGTACAGGTAGAAAGTAAAATATTTGTAACAACTTTTAAGAAATTTTACTGTTTGTTATATGCAGTGTAATTCTGCTTTGTCCAAATATATGGTCAAGTACAACTGAAAGTTTTGATTCTCCCCTATGTCTGTGTTTTATTCCAAAGTAAACTTACAGTTCTGCACACCTGAAATCTTGGAGCAGCATTTTTTATAAACTGATTACTACATCTGTGTTGCCTTCTTATAAGAATTGTGTTTAAGGGTAGTTACGTAGTCATAGTGTAAGTACAAACAGTTGTGCAAAATGCTGATTATATGTTCACAAGAATCACATTCACATAGTATCAGTGATAAACCTGGATTCTTATTCCACCCTGTGAGAGTGCAGCAAGAATTTTGCTTTAACGGTGAAATTTTTGCTCTTCTTTAGTAGCCTAAGAAATACACACTTGCATAAATACTGAGTTTCAGGTGTATTCTTTGATAGCTTAGTCATCAGCAGAACACTTTAGTGAATAAATTGGTGGCAGTATCTTTTTTACCGATTTTTTTTTTTTTTTTCCTTCCTTTGTTAAAACTGCCTCTTTAATTTCTCTATGTGGACTTGCCTCTCTAGACCTGTAATCTGGCAAGAGTAGGTCTTTAAGTGTTTCATTGGTAAAGATAATTCAGATATAGTGGAAGCGTGAGAAATGAATCTTTCTATACACTGATTTCTAATAGTTGCGCTTCTGGAATTTTTATAGCCAAAGTGCAGGTGTTAGTCTGCTGCTTTTTTTTTTTTTTTTTTTTTTTTGGACAAAAAAAACCAAACCCACAAGCTTAGTTTAGTGTTAGGTGCACACTTAAACTCCAGAATGTTAAGGGTGACACTAACATATTTGTATTACCAGAACAAGGACATTCTAATACAACAAGATTACTTTGGTTTTCTTTCTCAAATAGCTGTTGATAAACTAAACCTTAATGTTATATGGAGTTAAAAGTGTAGTTGTTCTTATTCACCCCTTGGAATAGCATACTGTTTTTAAAAAATAAAAAAAGGAAAGGAAAAGCTTTGATAGAGGTGTTTGTATTAAATACGTATATAATGTATGCCCTCTTACTGGCTTTATTGTTAGGGAGTAATTAACCATCTGCCCAATCCAAGTTAAATACTAGAAGGCAGGAAAACAGTACTGTCTCTAATCCTAACTGTAGTTGAAGAAACTGTATTTTGAATTTGTACTAGTTTGCCAGCAGCTGTGTAGAAAGGGAAACAGGAATAATACTTGCCCTCCAGGAGTAGTTAGTTACTCCAGAGTCTTTATGTTTTAGAAAGTTTAAGCCAACTATACTGTCGTTGCAAGATTTGCTTTTACATGTACAGTGCATGTTTTAATAGCTGTTTGAAATGTAAAACTGAATATTCCTTGGACTTTTTAGCAAAACTCACACAGACGTTTCTGTATATTAAATCAGAATAAGCAGAAAAGGAACAAAACAAACTTGACATCAGTATCAAAGTCTTTCCTAATGAAGTAAAATTTAATACCAATCTGAAAATAACAAATAGGACCAAGATATACACTTGAGCTGTCATAACCTTAGAACGGGTAATCTGTATCATCTAGGTCAAGTTGAAAGTGGATGGTTGTGGTCTGCATGTCATAAAGCAAGATAATTCCTGGGTGAATAGGCAGATGTAAGTTTTGTGCTTCAGCTGAATGTTCAGGGAGATCTAGTAGAGTTTGCTTTGGTAATGGCATTTGATCCTACAGACCTCTGTCTGTAGGTTAGATCATAAAAATCCTTTTTTCACAATCCGTAATTTCAGTGCAGTTTATTAAAAATATAATTTGATTTCAGAACACATACTGACAGCCATAAGCATTTTTAAAAATAAATTAGTTCAAATTAAGAGATAATGTAGTCAAAGATGCAAGTTGTAATCTGATTATCAGAGATCTGTAAGAAAGTGGGAGTGAAGATTTTTTTTTTTTTATAAATCCAAAACTGATGCTTTAGCATCTATTAGTCTTTCAACATTAACAGTGAATTTTCCCTGTTGTGAAAAAAACCTATGTTTTGAAATTTTCACTTGGTGCTACTAATGTAGTTGCATTTAAATTCCATTCACAAGTCATGCATTTTGCATCTCTCATTACAAGGTAAAGACCATCATTGATGGATCTCCAGGGAAAAAAATCTAGACATTATGCTGGCATAAAATGTTTAACTACCTTTTGAGTTCAGTAATTCATTCTGACTTGCTGCTCTCCAGCAATGCAGCACTTTGTGTATCTGCTTCACCTCTGTGGTGTACTTATAAGGTTTGAAGTTATCCCTGCAGTTCAGATAAAATCAGACATCCATTTCACTAGGCAGAAAAAACGCCAACAACCAACCCAAACAACCCCCCCCCAAAACACACCAAAAAATCTAGCTATCCTGTTATTCTAGACTGTGTGCACTTGATCAGTTTCTTGGTTCGGAATTAAACCTCACATCCTGTTCCTGGGAAGGCAGAAGCAGTTGCATTACTGTAACAGTGGGCAACTACATCAGATTTAAGCTTTCCTGCTGTTACCAGCTTTGGTACATCTCCAGAGGTAAAGGCTGCAGCATTAGGCCTTGAGCCTCATGTCACTTCTCCTTGTTTCTTAAAGCTGGCCTGTCACAAAATCCTTTTCTTTAGAAGGTCCTGCAGGTCCCTTCTGTACTGCTCAGAGTTGTACCTGCTGACTTGAAGCCTTTCTGTATGAGGTCTCTCTCAACTGCACCTCTAGTTCCAAAGCAGCTGGTTACTGGTGCTCATCCAGTCAAACCTCAAGCTTAAACCTTCCTAGGCCCCTGAACCTGCTCTGTGCTGTTCTTACAGTGTGTGTTACTGTTCCTTCTTTGTGTTTGATCTTGGAGAATCGGTCTATGTGACAAGTTATGGGTAATAGTAACTACACTACTAACAGTAGTAACACTATCTGCATAGGTGGAGGAAAAAGATATCCATATTATTTCTCTGAGTGGAAACACTGTCTTATTTTGTTACACTGCAAGCGTCCTTGAAGCATTGAATTTTTTAAAGAAACAGCAGAAATCTTTACAAGCAAGATTAAAGAACAGGTATCTAAATAACAGTATCCAAAGCCAGATTTCTTGTTTTGAAGTGAACTCAGTTTGTTCAGATGCTATCAGGTAGTTATTGTGCTGAGGATACTTTGAATGAACTAGTTATAAGTTTGCTACATCGAGGACCCAAAACATCTCAGTTTAGCCCTTTGCCATGAATTCAGAGGTATAACATGCCCCGGTGAGTTTCTTCTCTTGATGCGTACATTCTGTGTTCCGTTCTCGCAGCCGCCGGAGCTGCCTTTTCCCAGCAGTGCCGCAGCCCAGCCTCGGGCCTTCAAACCGCTCCCTCCCGACACCCCCCGCGCGGGCCCGCCCCGCTGCCTCATTGGCTCTACCCCCTGCACTGCCGCGTTCCTATTGGCGGGCTACCCCTGTGCCCCGCCCCCGGCCCCGACTGGCGCTGCCCGCGCGGGTCTGGGGCGGGCTCGGTGTTGCCTTCGGTGGGCGGCTGATCCGGCTGCACCTTCTGCTCCCCATGGCGCTGCTGCTGGATCTGCTCCGCCGGCTGCTGGAGCTCCTGGGCTGGCCGCCCCACCAGGTGAGAGCCCGCGGTGGCGCAGGGGGCAGTCTGCTGCCGGGCGGCGCCCGGAGACCCACTGGTGCGGGGCGTCCCGCCCGCAGCCGCCGTGGTTCCGCGCAGGGAGGGAGCGAGGGAGAGATCGGCACCGATGGCGGTGCGGCGGGTTCCGCGCCCTCCGTGCCCACAGCTGGGCTCGTCGGTACACTCTGCCCGCACGTGGGAGCGCGTGGGTCACTGCTCCGGCACGGCCGGTCAAGGCGCGCTTTTTGCCCTGAACAGAGAGGAACAGAGTCGGGAGCGTCAGCTGTTCCTGCTTTGCTGCTTTCAATGAAAGGCTACATACCCATTCTCGAGTTAATTCTGTGTTTCCAGAGACCTGGGAAAGGTACGGTATGGGAAGCGGAGCCAGCTCACTGGTGCAGTGTCAGGGCTGATGCTGGAGGGGGGCTGTGGGCAGCTCCTTGGTGGTGCTGCTGCAGCGTGTGCTTCTGAGGCGGGTCTGGGATATGTGTGTGAAACTGCCAGAGTGGCTCTAGGGACTCTAGTTTGACTGATTTTTCCTCTTTATTTTCTGTTTCCATCGTTGGGACTTCTTGGTGTTTTTTGACAGGCCGTATTTTTCGAAACTCGCACGTTTGGCAGCAGTATCACTCGTGCAATCAGAACATGCCTTCCTTCAGCAGTCTCATCAGGAAGGCATTTCCAGCAGTTGTACACCGTAATAAGGAAGTATCAAATCAAGGTACATTACATTTATTTCACTTCTTTACTAACTTTTTTTCCCCAAAGACTTACACAGATGCATATGATTACTTAAAATGTGCAGTTTTTCTTTTATCAGTATCTCAAGATATTTGCCTTTGTGCCTCTTTAAAGTATTCTGTGAACAGGCTGTATTTTGGAAGCATCTTAGACACTGTTAAAACCAGTGTAGGCCTCTTTGGACTTTCAACTAGAGAAGAGCATTGGAAAGTTAAATTAACCTAACTGTATTATATTTAATTACATATAATATTCAAGAATTTAATAATTTGGATTGTAAGAACTGTGGAATTTGATTTTACTTCTCATTTTCAAAGGTTTTCTGATTTTTAGGTCACATCTGTTTGCCAAAAAAAGCAATATGGATCTACTCGAAGTGTTGTCCGGCGACTTGGGACAATTCTTTCCTTGGAGCCCTACCCAAGACCTTATTTTCAAGTAAGCAATTTTCATATGTATGCTTCACCTATTTGCATTTTCTTGTTTCTTAATTTGATGATAGCTTTTCTGTTCTTTTTAGCTCATGTAATTTGTGTGTTGCATCCCTTATGTTCCCTCTTTTCCACTTCCTTACATCACTGTTAAAAACTCTTTTTGCAGAACTTTCAGTATGTGCTGAATTCGGTTTCTCTTCATACCTTTTTTTGTCATTCTTGTTTGGTTTAGCTTGTTCAAGACCCAAGTCCATTGGGTTATGATGAACAAAGTGCAGCTCCAACTCCTGTGGCTCCATCACTTGCTGATGTCCTGTGGGTGGCAAATGATGAAGGACAGGCTTTTACTAGACTTAGGTAAGTAAAAGTATAAAAAGGAGTAATAGGAGTAAAAGGAATTATGCCTTCTGTTCTTTATGGGGTGTGAATTCATGTTTGTTTCTTTGTTTTTTGACTAACATTTTCCAGAAATACCTTAGGTGTTTCTGGTAGGGGCAGTTCCTGCTTACCTGGAAATTCTTATTGTGTAAAGCATTCTTATCCAAAAGATTTCTGAAATTTAGTCTCCTATTTTCTTTTCATAGTAGCATGTCAGATGCATTGCTGGTATTTTAATTGGTTTTCACTCACAAAGTATTTTGTGAGTTGAAGGGAAATTTGGTTATTGCAGTATACCCTAAGATTATTCCTATCTTTATCCTTTTAGTTTGCAACCATTTTGATAAATTTTAGAAAGGGAAAAACAAGAAAAAATATTTAAAAGTCTCCTTTTGACTTTGATTTCTGCACTGCTCTGTGTAAACTTTGGTTATTGCTTTGCTGGAAAGTACAAACATTTTATCTTAACAATTTGAAATAGATTTGAGTATAGTTTATATAATTCTTTCTAGCCTTTATAGAATGTTGAAGGAAAATATTTTTACAAATTATGAAGTATTTCAGGTACTGTGAAAAGAGAAATTGTGCAGGAATTTGCAGACACAAATAGTGTATGAGTTTTATCTTTTTTTTCCCCACTAGAAAAGAAATAGAAAGTTGTCTTACTTTTCCTCTAAAGGATCTGTTCAAAATCAGAGGATGAGTTAGAGAGCCAGAACCAAGATTAAAATGTGGACACTTGTATTGTCTTTTACTCTTATCTGTATAGGATGATGTAATTCTACTTCATATTGATATTTGTTTGTGATCTTTGTGCTACTTGCTGGTAATGAAAATACAAGAAACTGATGGATTCAAAGGACACACTTTTTATTGGAGAAGTTTTGATACAGTGTGTTTCATGCAAAGCTGGTAAAATACTGCGAGTAAGAATATTGTTCAAAGGCATATTGTTAAAAGGCCTGTTTTGTCTTGCTTGTGCTTGTGCTGTTCTTTAGCTGATCAGATTCGCAGATCTATGACAGTTTATTCTTTTGTTTTTTCCATTCTTTCCTCCCCTTCTGGCTCTGTGGGATGTTTTCCAAGAACAGCTATTCTAATTGATATCTTTTCACTTTCAAGCAGTGTGACTAACAAGGGTTTTTGGCAAATCAGAAAGCAATGCTGCAGGTCTGATTTGAAGTAAAAGGATAGTTATATAAGAGAAAAGGTCTGGTTTGTTTTCAATCAAAACTTAGTACATCTTGAATAAATAACGTAAATTTAATTTCTTTGTTTTATAATGAAATCCTGGCAGTTTGATTTTATACTTATTTTATATCTTAAGGTTCTTTCTGCAGGCACAGACTTGAAACAATTTTTAAAATTAAAACCTGAGACTTACAGCACAATTTTCTGGTGCTGTCTTTGTTTGTAGTAACTTATACAAGATGAGGTTCTTATTCTGTAAGTGTATATTAAACCTTGTTATTCTCCAGTATATTTTCTGAAAGATTGTAATTTCTTTGCTTATTGCAGTGTTCTTCGTAGAGTTTGATAAATGACTAAAATTTATGAAGCCTAATTAAGAGATCATTAGCCTTTGACTCTCCTGCCTTTCATATTCATGTAAGGAGAAGGGAGAGACACCACATGCTGTCATTCTAATAGTTATTGAATAATGACAACTCAATCCTACTGTATAGCTTTATGATGTTTAATTATCCCTGAGTAAATTATCTGACTAATTTTTATGATGACTTTGCAGGGATCTACATCATACTTGAGCAAAGGGAGACTTAAAACATTTTAAAGCTTATGAGTAGTTAAAAGTGTAGTTTTCTTAGATGGTTTGAAAATTTATGTCTTGCTGAATGACAGTAACTTTCTTGAATAGACAGTAGCTTTGAGATTTCCATTGTTGGCTGAGCCTTTTGAAACTGTGTCTTTCGTTGCTTTCTAGGACTGAATTATGGAGAAAAGAGAAACGTACAGCTCATCATGACCTATATCCATCTATAGATTCAATACAGAGCATTCCAAAAAACAGCACACGAGAAGACAATATTGATCAAGCAGCACTGCAGAAGATTTCTGCACTTGAAGATGAGCTAACCTTTCTTCGTGCTCAGATTGCTGCAATTGTTTCAGCGCAGACACTGGGAAGCATTCCATCACGTGAGCCCTTCTGGTTTGAAGCAAACCACTTTTCCTTTTTATGCTTTAGAGCTTGCCATGCCTGACAGAGAACTTTTCTCACTGAAGATACGCCACTAAATTTACCAAATATAGTATTTTGTTTCTCTTTTTGCTGTTGGTGGCCCTCTCTCACTTCTATTTTGTGGCCTCTTTGTCAAGTTCAAAAGTTGATCCTAAGTAATCTTCGTACTCATTTCCATGTCTGTGAAGGAGCTTAATAACATCACTATATACAGGCTACCAATTATTGTTTGAAAAAATTACAGACTATTTTGTCCATTTGTGTTTTGTGCTGTTTCTAACAAGTTAGCACAATAATGGATAGAAAAATTATTTTAAGTCAGCCAGATTTGGGCTTTAACAAAAACAAATGCTTCTGACAGATGTGTCTAAGATAGCTGGTCTCCAGCATGAACTTCTATCTCGTGACCTCTCTTTTTCCCCTAAAAATTTTGAGGTCTTGATTGTTTTACTTGCAGACTAACCCCACTGTGGTTGCTGAAATACGTAAACTGGTGCGAGGTACTTACTTTTCTGTGGCATTGTGAGGACTTCTGCGATTCAGTTAGTTGTTCTGTTGACTCTTCTTCTGTCTCTTCTCCATTGCACTCAGTACTGTAGTCTATTTTACATGTTTCGTGGCTATCTTTGCTTTTGCTTCATATGGGTTATTATGACCTTCAGACCATCAAGAACAAACTGTTTGTAGTTGCTGTTGGAGGGCTGCTTCGCTGATTTGTCTAGTGCTTAGATTGAAAACGCAAACAGAGAAAATCAGAGCAGCATAGGACACCTCAGATTCATTGTTTTGTGTGTTTTGAATCTGTGGGTTTGAAGTTATGTTCTTAGTTTTAAGTCTAGTTCTTCTGTGTTATAATGTGCGAGGTGTATAAGGAAGTGCTTTAAGAGGGCAGTCTTATCTTGACTTAAAACCGAGTCATCCTACATGTTAGTCTTTTTCTTCTGTTAACTCTATCCAGAAGCCTTTAAAACACCCAGCACTCCAGATGGATTTTACCCAGTGCCAGCCATGACTTCCACACCATTGTCCGTCTCTCACAACCACTTTGTAATTCCCTTGCCTCCTCCACTTCCTTCTGGTGTACCATCTGGTGTTGATTCTAGTAAATCTGCAATGGAACTTATAAAACAACGCCGTGCTGCAAGAAACGGTGATTCAAGTGCAGCTGATAGTGCTGATCACCAGAAGACAAAGAATGTTCCTAGTATGATGGAAGTTTTGAAAGACCTAAACAAAGTTCAGTTGCGAGCTATTGAGAGGTAGGTTGAGTTAAATGTGTACCTCAGCAAGCCAAGTCTGTGTAAGCATCACAGCACTTCAGTAGCACCAGAGAACACCAATGCAAAACGTCATTTCATGAGCAGCTACTGCTGTCAAACTGAAGTTGGCAACGTCTAAGTTCAACCCTTGGAATGTAAGATACTTGTGACATGGCTTTTAGGTGCATTTAAAACGTGCTGAATATCACAGTTTGCTGCTTCAGTATGCAAATCTCAGGTTGGTGTGGGGAGGTGGGAGATTGTTTACAAAGTTTCCTACACCATCACAGAAAATTCATCTGAACAAATAACTTTCTGGTTTCACAGTGAAGGGCCACATCCTTAGGGAAACTTTGGAAAACTACTTGCCCAAACTATCCTGTTTCAAGCTTCAAAGTGTTAAAGAAAACATATACTGTATCTTTTATTGAAAATGTTTCACAAATTTGTATTTCAATAGTGCACGTGGGTTATAAGTATTTTTAATGGTCAGCAGTTTTGATGGTAAGCACAGTTGACCTGTTACAAAAATGCTTTACTGCTACACTTCTTCGGGTCAGTGTTGCTGTGCTGTGCTGTGCTAGGCATAATAGAGGTTGTCAGATGTTTTTGAACTTCTTGAGTTGAAAAAGTATGTAAGAATAACTGAGTCTATAATGAATATTTGAAGCTCTTAATGTGGGAAGAATGTCACTTTGCAAAACTTACTGCTCTCATTTCAACATTTTCCTGACTGTGAGCTTTATCTCTAAAAGTAACTAGCACAAATCTTGGACAATTATCTCTATGCAACTCTAAAGCATGTCTTTACATTTTGATGACATCTTTACAGTAAATAAGGCAAATATAAAGTGCACTTAGGTAAACATGTATGCTTCCTTTACATATATTTTCTTCCATGTAATTCCATGTATGGTGAGTCAAGAAAGTGAGTTGTTCTGGTTGACAGTTTTAATACCCAACATGTTGAGCATGAGCGTAATTAGAAGCGGTACATGTGTGTCCGAAATGCTTTCTGGATTTAGGCATCTGCCTTTATTCTGAAGGTAGAACTTAACTGGATAATGAATTTGTATTGCTGGGGGACTAATGGTGGCCAAAATTGCTATAGACTTTCAACCTGCAGTCTGAGAATAGTTTCATGTGTGCACAGCAAAGGGAAAACCTTTGTTCTCAGAAACTGATAGTCTGAAGATCCCAGTTTCTACCGTCCTGGACACGCTGGGCAAGTGTTCTGTCGGCTTGTTTTGTAGAAAGAGTGAACTCCGTCCCTTCAGGTCTCATGGAAGTCCCAGACTTTGAATAAGCTCAGCACTGTCAGTGTGCATTATTAGGTACAAATCATTGGCCTGGAGGCAGCACTTTACTAGCAGAACTCTGAACACTCTAGATTCCTCCCCCCATGCCCTCAGATACCTCAATGGTTAGAAAGTCTTTCTTATGATTTATTTTCATGGACTAGTCACTGGCTTCCACATTCATGTTAGGTTTTGGGGTGCAGGTGCTGGTTTGATTTTTAATTTGATAAGAACAGTTTTTCTAAATTAAAATACAAACTCTACTTTTGTTGCCTATAAAATTTTCCTATTTGGATGCTCAAGTACTCACTTGGAGGGAAAAACTGTCTTTGAAGCCTTTGTGCCAAACCTGATGATAATTTTTTTTCTTTTTAAATAATGAAACTTGAGTTAAGTGTAGCTTATAAATGGGGCTTTGTGTTTACCTGGCTGCATATTTGACTTAAAGGGGTTGTTTTCTTTACATATAATTGCTCTGTGGAATTTCCTAAGTTTGTTTGTTCTTGTGGGACCATAGAAAACCATGCTATTCTGAACTTAAAATGAATAAAGTTTAAATCAGATTACATTCACATTTATTATGAGATACTGTAGTGGGACATTTCCACTAATGTAGCTTAATATAACCTATAAATGAATTGCTATAAAACCTGTACATTCTGCTTTTTTTTTTTAAATTTTCTCTATTTGCAATACGTCAACATGTGTTGATTTACTGCTGTTTTTCTTCATGGAACAGTATCAAGTGGTGTTTTCAGGCTACGAATGTGGCTGACAAGTTGTTGGGTGTACTTGTATAAATTGTATTTGATGAATTGCTGTAAATTAACAGCAGCATTATTTATGTAATCAGGAATAGGGTCGGGAGACAATAATTTTTTTTTTTTTTTTCCCCAGGTCTCCTGGAGGTACTCCTCTTTCTAGACCCCAAAAGAGGCAAAGTTCAGATTGGGATCCAGTTGCTCTACTAACTCACGCACTAAAGCAGAAATTTGCACATAAAAATTATGATAAAGATGATTCTCTGGACAAAGAAAATAGATCTTTTGATAACTCTCCATTTTCTAGTCCGGAGATCCCAATGGTACGTTTTTATATGAGAATGTGTGTTTATATTCTTGAAATTACTGCTCTTTTCATGGATAGTTGTAGGGTTTTTGCAAGTCTAGAACTTCTCTTCAAGTTTTTTTTAGCCATCAGCCTAGCTAGTTACTTTTTAAAAAGTATAATCAAGGCAGAGAATATCAAAGATTAATTATTTTGGGTGTACAATTCTACATGTGCCAAGAGAAAAAACTTAGAAGACTGATTTTAAAAATTCAGCTCACGGTTGATTGAACTGTGGACATTTGCTTGATGGTAACTGACAAGTACCCATGCATAGATATTTTACAAATAAAGATGTTGGGAAAGCACAGAAAGGTCTGACTAACAGATGCTAAGTGTTCAGAAATGAAATCAAAAGCATAGCCAGTAATATTTTTCTTTGAGGTAGCAGAATTTTCACACAGTTTGTATCTTTATCCAAAATGAGATGTGATTCTGTTGTAAAACCCACGAAAAATACAGTTTTTTCTATGAACAAAGAAGCATGGTAGGTGGGACCATCAGACTAAGGTGAGTCTGAGCACTGTTTTCTGCAGAGCAGCCTGTGCAATGTGCTTGTTAAACATTTTCACAAACCTCAGAACTGCTTAGACGAGGTGGTTAGAAATAGGTGACCGTAATTTAAACTTTGTCTCTGTTTAGCAATTCTGTCTTTTTATCGTAAGAGTGAGATAAATTGTTTGGACTGTGGCACTTGTTATCCTAATAAGTAATAGTAGTGCAAAACATGTAATGGTAATCCAGACATTCTTTGAAGGCAACTGCTCATACATGAGGCTAGCTGCGTGGCTGAAAACTTGAGGAAAAATAACGCGTGTGTGTTCCTCTTTCTAGCTATAATTATTTTATTTTTTTCAACTGCCACAAGAATTTTGCAAGCAAAATGTAGCATATATTCTACAGGCTGCAGTGAGTCAGCAACTTTGGTGCAGTCTTAATAAATTTCTTTGATTTTTAATTTTTCCTTTTTCGGGAAAAAAAAACAACTTCTTAAAAATACAAGCCAGGCTTGTATTTTGGATGCTGCAGACCATTGCATTGCGTAGGTGACACACCTGATTCTAGATACAAAGATCAAAAATATATCCTCTAACAGGTGGATTATAAAGTCCTGAAAGAGAGACTGCATAAGGCTAGCATATTCAGGAGTAGATACAAAAAGATGGACTTTTTCTGCTTAAAGCAGAATAATCTTATTAGAGTTTGTAATCGAGCCTCTAATTGTTAACTGTTGAGTATTTTGAAGAATAAATGTACTTAAACCAATTGCACGAGCTTACTATTTTATTCTTCCTACATTAAGAGAAGTACAACAACTCTTCCAAACCATTTCTATTGTAAACATCTAATTCAGTTGTCTTGGGTATAATTATAATTCCATTCCTGCTCCCCAGGTTGGACGTTGCAATCTGAAGCTAAATGCAAAACCTAGCCTTACAAGAACTGATGAAGTTGAACAGGTACCAGCGTGGAAAGTGAGAGCTCATATTTAGCTGCAGTAGAAACTTCTGAGGAAACTTCATAGTGTACATAAGTGGTGGGTCCACTTGTGGAAACTGCTGTAAGGTGCTGTATTGTGTTGTTCTAGAACAGGTCTTTCCTATGCTATTAAAGTTTGGGTGTTGTAGGGTTTGTAAAATTACCTCCTCCTTAGTTTCCCAGAAGCCAGACTTGTGAATGTGATGTTTTTATGAGAAGCACAGAACTGAAAGAAGGCTTCCATTACTATGGAGCAGCGTGTTTGAAACCTGGGAAATCGAGGAAAGCAGTGTGTGGGTAGGGAAATTTATTGCTGTAGCAGCTGAGGTGTATGTTCTGTTTGCACTCCAGTGTAAATAACAAAGTATAAACTTTTTGTTAGTGTGTTATCACTGACTGTGTATAATGGTAATACTTTTTCCTTAGAGTGGTATAGTTGCCATGGTTTTCTTTGCAGTTTGCTGATGCAACTCCTTATTCCATGTGCAAACGGTATTCTGATTTATTTTGGGTCAGGAGATGAACTTTTATGTTTGTGAAACTTTGTGCTGTAAGTAAACTGCAGCTGCCTATTAAGTGCCTGTAATATGAGGGAGTTGCATTCCGAGATTAAAAAGACCTTGTAGAGAGATCTGCTAGCACATAGTCTAAATTCCATGTGTAAGTAAACATTAATTCCCGTCTCATCTTGTCCATCTGACCTCAGTTTTGTTCACATGAATTTATAAAATAAAATTTTCTTTATATTGTAGATGTGTGTGGTAGTGGCCTTTTGTGTTGCAGACTCTTTTGTATCTTAAGAACTGACCATATTAGACAGCTTCTTAAATTGCATTATCTAAAACTAATTAAAGTACAGCTTATAATTTTTCCTGCCAGAGTACTTGATGGAGCCACTTATGTACAAATTTATGATCCACTGCTTACAGTAACTGCCTTCACTTAATCTTTTGTCTAATGATCCTGATGTATAAAACCTAAATCCCGTCAGACGGTTGAATGTATCCCTTATATATCCTGTGTGTCTTCTATTTCCCTGCTCACTTACACAGAGTAGACTGGCAGCTGTATCCCCTCCTACTGCTGAATCTTCTTTGCACTGTTCTAAGAAATTAGTGTGCAAATGCCATACTTCCATTTTAGTTTTAAAAGTTATCTTTTGACTAAAACCAAAGCTTAAGTGACTTGATATATTATGCTCCTAAAATGACATCATCTAGATTTTGTTTTGTTTTGGTTTGTTTGTTTGTGTTTTTGTTTGTTTTGTTTGTTTGTTTGTTTTTCTGGATTTAGTAATTATTTAACTTTATCATATTCTCCCATTCCTTGCTTGGTCCATAACAGTTTGACCTTCCCTTTCTTTCAAAATACACGTTTGCTGCTTCCTCTACCTAAATTTGACAACTGCTATGAAATCCATACTGAATAACCAGCTCGGCCCCCTACTTGGCAATTTTACCCTCTTCTATCAAAACTCCTCATTGTCTTGTCTGCTGCTCTGGTCTGCTGTACTAGGGCATCAAGGAGCAACAGGGAGAGAAGTTGATGCAGTGCCTGCAGAAGAGGATATGAGGGCAGGTGAGTCCTTGGGAGCATAAAGCTTATGAATTGGCTCCATTTTTCCTCAGTATCTGCATTGTGGTGAGAGGGAGCAAGTTATCTCCTGTTTTATATCAGTTTTCCTAGATCCAGGGGATTTCAGGGTTTGTGGCCATTCTGCTGTGACTGACAAACATGAGGATGGAATTCTTTCTGTAAGAGACTGAATTGTCTACAAAGCCCTCAATACAGCAGTCTCTCTCCTCTACGTTAGTTGCTTTATGTGACCAGCAGTTTCTTGTCTTCAGGAAGAACTTGTTTTGGACTCCTTTTACATTTTTCTGTTCTCCCCAGAATTCATCTTGGGGTTTGGCCACAGGAGGAGTTTGCAGTAGAAATTTTGAATTTGGAAGTGTCTTTTCATTTTGGAAAGGACTTCTGAGAAATTTCTTAGTACCTCTGAAACCAGTGATCTAGCGTCAGAAGCATCTGCAAATTTTAGTGAGCTGTATGATCGTTCTGGTTGTTGGGTACTCTCTCTGATTTTTGTGTCAGTTTGATGTGAATTGTGCAGTAATGTAGTTATAAAGTAGTTTAAGCTGATCAACTTCCTTAGGAAAAAGAATAAATCATGGGCCATGTAGGTTGTTTTTTTTTCCCCAACTATGTACCACGTAGACATGTTATGAGAACAGAATCTTTATTTTATGTAGTTCCAGTTATAAATTAGGGTAGGCATTCAACTCTGGTATACCTTGAGAAGTCTGTGGGTGGCATCTGGTAACATCTGACAGTTTTCAGTACTAAGAAGCTGCAAAGCTTAGGAATAGTTAGCATTGAAAAGTTTTGTCAGTCATTGCAGAGATTTTTCTGACTTTCAGAACTGATGGAAATGTGGCTTTGTCATCTTATTTTCTTTGACTAGACCTTCTGTATCAACAGCTTGGAAGCAACTTGAGGTTCTCCAAGGTTACCTATGCCCACCTATAATCCGTACCCTGTTCACCTACAAATACTCTGGTTTACATAAGGTCCCTGAATGAATTGCTCAGTCACAATGCAACTCGAGTTGTGCTATTAATACGAGAGAGGAGGAAGAGACTCAAGAACATGAGTGCTCTATTGATCTCCTGGAACAATCTTGTGACAGGCTGTGCCTTCTTATTCTGTCACTGAAGAAGTCTGAAAAACTTTCTCTCCTACCACTCACAATGAATTTTTGGGCAGCCTGTCTTCATTCAGGGGTTGCTGGGGTGGTCTCTGGAATGAACGTTGGTTTTGATTTTCCTGTAAAAAACCTATAAAATATGTATAAGTATATCCAATTTTCCAGTTGATAAAATTGAAACAAGAATAAATGTTTCAGATATTTTGAGTAAATAGGGTGAGAAGGAAAAGTACAATGCAATCCTTTAAAAACAGTTTTACAGATCTTCCTCTAGGAGATCCCATAAGATTTCAGTGAGCTTCCCATTACAAGGAGACTAATGAATACAGTTACCCAAACTATCAGAATGTCACTGCTGATATACTCCTATAATATACCAGACCTGTCCAGATACTCACTACTCGTGAGGGACAATTAATATATAATCTGTCTTCTCTCTGCACATGTAGCTACAGAGTTTTTGGGTAAAGGCAGAGCAGAGAATATGCAACAGTATTCACTGCCCTCACTTTATTCTTCTTGTCAGGAATTAATTGCATTGTTCTTTAGTCCTAACTAAATAGTAAAATTAGATATATTAGGGAACCTGCTAAACAAGTTAGCCTTGAGTTACTGATCAGATGCCTTGGGGAAAGTTATGCAGGCAAGACTACTGAAGCAAGTGATGTCCCAATGTTAAGCAATGTCTGCAGCCACTGACTTCACCTACATGTGTATTACCTTCCAGGTTTATTTAAATAATCTATTAATTGTGTATGATATTTTAGAGCATTATTGTTGGACGTCTGTGTGAAATCTGAGTAGTTTGCAGTGGGGAAGGTGCCATGCTGCTCCTGTTGTGTGCAAACAGAGACTGGTGGGTGATGTAATGGTTGGAGACATCTTAGGCACAGTGATCACAAAATGATAGTTTTCAGTTCTTGAAGAAGTAAGGAGAGGAGTCAACAGAACTGCTGCCTTGGACTTCTGCAGGGCAGACTTTATCCTGTCTAGAAGACTGGTTGAGTGAATCTGCTGGGAGGCAGTCCTGAAAGGCAAAGAAGTCCAGGAAAAATGGACATTCTTCAAGAAGGAAATGCTAAAGGAGAGGAGTGGGCCATTCCCGTGGTCTCTAAGATGAGCTGGTGGGGAAGACCAGCCTCACTGAACAGGGAGCTTTGACTGGAGCTCAGGAAAAGGAGGAGAGCTTATGACCGCTTAGAGAAGGGTCAGGCAACTCAGAAAGATTGTAACAATGTTGTGAGATTAGGAAGGGAGAAAATTAGAGGGGCCAAAGCCCAACTAGAACTTTGACTGCTGAAGTAAAAGGCAATAAAAATGTTTCTATAAATATTTTAACAATAACAGGAGGGCCAAGAAGAATCTCCATCCTTTACTGGATGCGGAGGGAAACATAGTTACAAAGGATGAGGCTGGACTACTTAATGCTGCCTTTGCCTCAGTCTTTAATAGCTAGACCACTTAGCCCCTGGGTACCCAGCCCCCTGAGCTGAGGGAGAATGGAATTAAGCCCCAGTAATTCAAGAGTAAAGGTTTGCAACCTGCTACACCACTTGGACACACACAGGTCTATCATGCCAGATGGGATCCACCCAAGGGTATGGACAGAGCTGGTGGAAGTGCTCACTGAGCCACTTGCCATCATTTGTCATCAGTCCTGGCTAACCAAGGAGGTCCCAGATGACTGGAGGTTGGCCAGTGTGACACCCATCTACAAGGAGGATCTGAGGAATTCCAGGACTGTCAGTCTGACCTCAGTGCTGGGAATGGTCATGGGGCAGGTTGTCTTAAGTACCACCATTTGGTACATGTAGGACAACTAGTGGATCAGGCCCAGCCCACATGGGTTTATGAAAGGCAGGTCCTTCTGGACCAAGCCAATCTCCCTCTATGACAAGGTGACCCGTCAATCTCTCAATTTGCTAAGCATGTGTAGAAAGGTACATAGCTATTAGTGAGTCTTCTACGGGTAGATTAATTTTTAACTTGTGATATTCTATTTCTGACATCTTATTACAAAGGCTGAAGTTGACTCTTCAAAAGTATCTGGAAAGCAGCTCAGTGAAAAAGGACCTGGGGGTGCTGGTTGACAGTGGCTGAACATGAGCCAGCAGTGTGCCAGGTGGACAAGAAAGCTGATGGCATCCTGGCTTGTATCAGCAATAGTGTGTCCAGCAGAACCAGGGCAATGTTTTTTCCCATGTACTCAGCACTGGTGAGGCTGCATCTCTAATCCTGTGTTCACTTTTGGACCCATCACTTCAAGAAAGACACTGAGGTGCTGGAGTGTGTCCAGAGAAGGACAATTTAATTTCAAAGATTTGAAGAAGAAGCATGTAGCTTGACTAGAAAGAATAAGATACCTGTTGTAAATCATCAATGTATAAAAAGGGGAATTTTTCATTATTATTCAAAATGCTTTGAAGTTTGAAGCTGATGTTACTCTACATTTACAGTATATCAGAAGAGGTATTGGATACTTAGTGTAGAGTTTTTGTAGGAGAGTTGTAAAGTGTATGGGAGAAAAAAGAATGTAAAAAGAAAAAGACATGAGTTAATGTTTGAATCTGTTTGTATAAATTATTCTGCTTTTGTTTCTTGTGGTTAGACAAATGTGAAAGGTACAATCTGGAAAGGTCTTTGACAGGCTTTTTCCTCTCTTGCTGTTAGTAAGTGTTTCAGTGATTTGTAACAGTGCACTATGCTCCATAGTTATGGCTTGAAACATTTTGTTTAGGAACCCAATCATGAACTGTGGTGGTAGTTTTAACAATATCTAAAATTGTATTGTGGATAAGGCTAAAGATGACAGCTGTCCTTCGACTTGAGAAATATTTTGCACATTTCAGTATTACATGGCCAGATTATTTACGAATTTTGATTATAATAATCAAAAGGCCCTTATTTTGTTATTTATTATTTCCTCCAAAAATCCTGTCAGCAGGATCTCTCATACAATGGGAATTTTAATTTTTTTTATTTTTTTATTTTTTTTTTACATTGAAAGAAAAACAGCATGGTGCTTTTGTTCCAGCTATGTTGCT